TTATAGATATGACTAGTCTATATTTATACATATGGTTCATACGTAGGAGGTAAAAGAAAGAGGGGTAAATATTCATGTATCATTTTCTTAGTCATCAACCAGACATCTCTCTGAGGGATTGAACTGTCTAGTACAAAATCTAGTACAAATCTGACTCCATTTTCATTTGGCAGACTTGTCGAACAGCATTACACTCTGGTAGGGCCTCCCATCAACCATAACTCAGTGTTACCAATTGCAGTCATGTGTGAAGAAATTGTTTCTCTATCGATGATAAACGTACCTAATTGCCTTAAAATAGCAAGAATTGTTAGCAAGTTCTAATTCCTCAATTTTTACTTAGTGTCTTATGGATATCAAAAGATCTGAATTAGCTCCAACACTTTTTATTCATTCGTTGTATGTCCAGTTGATTTTTACAAAATTTTCAATCATGAGAAGTTGATCATTTACATAACTCTCCTTTTTACACTAGTGTTGTGCATTTTTCCATATAGCGGCTTAAACTTTGATGGTGGTTTTTTCTTTTTTTTTTTCAATTGGCAGTGATTTTTTATATTTATGAAGATATTATATTAAATTGAACAATATAATTATAAATAATAGACCAAAAAATGTTTTGCAATTAGTGCTTGGTTGATGTGGAATATCATTAGTAGCATGTGAAGATAAACACTTTAGTGTTCTTGACATTAGGCCTTGGAACTGTTTGCATGAGGCGCAAGCAGGTGTTTCACTCACCTACCTTCTATAGAATACCCCCCTCCTTCATTCTTTAGGGCTTATCGTGCACTTCGTCTTGGCTCTCAAATAAGCTTATGTGATTAAATTACTCAAATAGATGCAGCAGACTGGTTGTTTGAGGTTGACCACCAATTTTATTATTTGGACATTTGGCATGCATTTAGGTATGATTTAATCAAGATGTCCATAATTGATGGCAATGTTGGTAAAGACATCATATTTTCTCTTATTTATATTCTTAAGGTAGAACAAAGTTTCTACATAAGCAGGAAGTCTAACACAGCAGTTCATTGATATGGTTGTAACATAAGAAATAGAGAAGAAATACTTCAGATGCTTGGCAATTATTGTCACTCAAGCGATCAACCTGAATAAGTGGGGCTATTGTTCTGTATGGTTGAAAATCCTCCTTGCCACAGGATTTAGTTGATTTTGAGTTGCTTCTAGGACAATAATGCATTTGGTAATGAAAGTTGCTGTACTCTTGTCAAGGGAAACTAGCTCAAAAAAAAAATTAATTCTCCACGAGAGAGATTACACTCTTGCATGGGGGATCAAGCAAGTTTGATCCTGTGAGACATTTAATGTCGAGCTTTGCCTTCTGATGAGAAGTGCAAGAAATCAATTTGTTTTCAAGCGCCGGATGAGAAATATAATTCTCTCAAGTATATTTTTTATGACAAGATTGGATCAATTTCAGTTGCCATGTTTGGTTTCTGCTGTGTGGCACTATATTGGATCTGGAATTGTGGCTCATCCACATTTATTCTATAGACATAAGAATGCTATTGTTTTATTTACAATTTGATAATGGTAGTCATTTTAATTTGCTAATGTGACCTTTGCTTTCATGGACATTTTTCATTATTTGTCCAATTTTAACTGACATTATTTTCTTTTTCTTTTGGTACAGAGATGGATGAACTCGTGCACAAAGCTAAATTGTACAGGGACAAATTGGCACTTTTTGTATTTTTGGAGGATATATATTTTGTATAGATGTATATGGAAAAATATTAGGGTAGACTAGTAGTTATATTTTTGGTATGGTGTGTATAGAAAATATTGTTAGACTACTAGTTATATTTTTGGTGTTGATGTACATGGATAAAAATTTAAAACATAATAACAAGTACTTGTTAGTGTTTAATTTATGTAGATGAAATATGTAGTTTCGAATTATTTGCGGATGTAAACTTTATAATAGTTGTTTGATTTTAATTAAACAGGTTCAGAAATTGTTGATATATGTATTTGTTGATGTGATGATTCAATTTATTTTGTTTGTTGAATGATTTCTTATTTTAACAGTTATTGAATAAATTGGATGAATTATATAAATTACAGTTTATTTTGTTGGTATTGGCGACCAAAATTTGGTTTTGTTTTTATAGTTTTGGCGACAATTGAGTCGTCGCCATTTTTTTGGTCGCGAAATGTCACAATTGGCGACCAAAAAAATTTTGGTCGCAGAATGTCACAATTGGCGACCATAATTTTTGGTCGCGAAATGTCCCAATTGGCGACCAAACAAATTTTGGTCGCAGAATGTTATAATTGGCGACCAATTGTTTAGTCGCGAAATGTCACAATTGGCGACCAAAAAAATATTGGTCGCAGAATGTCACAATTGGCGACCAAATTTTTTGGTCGCGAAATGTCACAATTGGCGACCAAAAAAATAATGGTCGCAGAATGTCACAATTGGCGACCAAACAAATTTTGGTCGCGGAATGTCACAATTGGCGACCAAATTTTTTGGTCACAGAATGTCATGATTGGCGACCAAACTTTTTGGTCGGGAAAATATCACTTTTCGCGACCAAAGTGTTTTGGCGACAAAATAAATTAGTCGCGGTAATTAAACATTTAGCGACTAAAAATTTAGTCGCGAAATCCAACTTTTGCCGACCAACCACAATTTTGGTCGCGAATTACTTTTGCCGACCATCAATTGGCGACCAAAGTAGCGACCAAAAAAATTAGTCGCGAATAACTTTTGCCGACCAAAAATTGACTTTTAGCGACCAATTTTTTTGTTGCCAAAAATGTTAATTCTTGCAGTGATTACACACACATGTTCACTCCATGACCTTGCACAAGCACACGTGCACAGCCCTGAAGCCTCCAGCACATCACTCATACACACACTTAGACTTCTTTGCACACCCACACCCATATGCACCCTCCAAATTAGACTATTCAATTTATGATTAAACTTAACTTAATCAAACAACACTTGATCCAAATAATTATTAATTAACACATAATTAAATTAATCATGATTAATCACTAATCCCACATAATTTTAATTGACTTCCATTAGAGCCCAATTAACTATATTTAAATTTATCAATCCGAATCGAATTTTTAGTCAGACTCCTAAAAGACTCCAAATTTTAAATTAAATTTATTATCATTATCAGTTTTGATTTCCCAAATCAATTAGGCCTTCAATTCCTAATCAAACTCAAATTTCCATCAATAAATTACATATTCAAATTAGACACATCATAATTAAATTTAATTTATAATAACCACGATTCTCAATCCTCATGACTTAATCAACTCCAATTAGGACCTAATTAATCGAATCTCAATTTTACTAAACTAAAACGAATATTTAATTAAACTCCCAAATGGGTCTATAATTAAGATTAAATTGATTCAACTTTTTAACTTCACCTCCTTAAGTCATTTGGACCCTTAATTCCTAATTTCAAAATAAATCTTTAATAGAATCATATACGAGTCAGATTCCACAATTCTCACAAATCCCAAATTAAATTATAATACTCGACAATTAAATTTCAAATCCTCGTAATTAATCAAGTACTAATTATTATACGTGATGGGGTCGTTACAAGGAGCCTAAATGTGTTTAACCCATATATATACTAAGTGATTAATTTAAACTAATTCATCTCAATTAGTGTTAACCAATTGCACTACATTTAATTGATTTAATCTAATTATTTTAATCCGAATCGATTTTTAATTAAATTTCACCGTAGGCTCTAAAAATCATGCTAATCGCAAAAATACAGTCAATTTCAGTTTCAGTCACACTTACCATCACCTACCACACACTTACCATCACCTACCACACACTTACCATCACCTACCACACACTTACCATCACCTACCACACACTTACCATCACCTACCACACACTCACTTACTACACTCACCTACTCCTCACCTACCACCACCTAACCTACATCTATATAATCAATCAATTGTAACAGAATCAAATATCAATAAGATATCAATCAATCAATAATACATTCATTTTTTACATGGTATCAGAGCTATAAGATTTAGGCCTATACTCCTTTCTTTCCGGCGGGCAGCCGGCCGGCAACCTTGCCTTCGCTGCCCGCGGGAGTTTTTCAACACATACCTTACACATACCTTGAATTGTTTCACTAACAAGGTCCGCTATGTTGCTATACATTCATCACCTAAAGATCAGCTGTGATTCATGATCTGACGGTCCCCACCACCCATCGAAGCCCTAGCAGCAAGCATATCAACTGATGTCTCATGTGAGCTCGCCGCAGGGTATCCAAATCCCAATCATTTATCTTCTGACAACACTGCGCACCAACTAAAAAGCGACGGAACATTGTACCACCATGTGCACGTTAGAGAAGCGCGGCAACATCTTCTTCTTGACTCTCACCGGCGACGATGAGCATCGCCTGAACCCGACCCTCATCGGCTCGCTCCGATCGGCTCTGCGCGAAGCACGCGAGCAATCGACTCGCGGCTCGGCTCTCATCACCACCGCTCACGGCAAGTTCTTCTCCAACGGCTTCGACCTCGCCTGGGCCCAATCCGGCGGCTCCCCTTCCGCCGCCCGTGATCGGTTCCATCACATGGTCGTTTTATTCAGGCCGTTGGTAGCGGACTTGATCTCCCTCCCGATGCCGACGATCGCCGCCGTGACGGGCCACGCCGCCGCCGCGGGGATGTTGCTCGCGATGAGCCACGACTACGTGCTCATGAGGAGTGATAAAGGTGTGCTGTACATGAGCGAGCTGGACATAGGGATGACTCTTCCGGAAAACGCCATGGCGGTGGTGAGGTCGAAGGTGGGATCTGCGGCAGCGCGTAGGGATTTGTTGTTGAAGGCGTCGAAGGTGAGAGCGGCGGAGGCGGTGGCGATGGGGATCGTTGACTCGGCGCACGATAGCGCGGAGGGGGTGGTGGAGGCTGCGGTGCGGCTGGGGGAGGAGTTGACCAAGAGGAAATGGGATGGAGAGGTGTATGGGGAAATAAGGAAATCACTATATCCAGAGCTATGTGGCATCCTTGGATTGGCTGATAAAGTTGTAACAGCTTCTTCAAAGCTTTGAAGTATGAAAATTGTTTTCTATGATTTATGAAATTGCTTTCGGGAAATTTGGTTGCAAAGTTTGATTGGGACCCAATTTTGGAAGTGGTGTATTACAATCAAGTGAAAATAAAGAGTAAGGCTATTTGTATCAATTAATTTATTTATTAGTATATTAATTGATGATGTGACATAATTTAAGATATTTTTAATATTTATAATTTGTATAATAATAATATCATAATTAGTATTAATACATTAGTTAGTGTACTAATTAATGTATGTAGTACCACTCAAAAATAAAAGGCCCATTTTGGGCGAGGGATATATAACAACCCATGATTCGTATTGTTTGATCAGGGAACAAATTTGAGTATCAACCCATGATTTGTATTGTTAGATCAGGGAACAAATTTGAGTAGTTTGTCACATACATTAGACTGACATTGTTTGTTTGATTTCATGCAAGCATTGCCCTAACCTATGATGATAGTTAGAATCAAGTGAAGACTGGGATTTAATAAAAGAACATCACAATATATTATTACAGTGAATTTAGACTCTGGAAAAAAAAGAAGTTAAAATTTTGAATCAAAAAGTGAAATGTTGCTAAGATTAAACTAGTATAGAATTTGAATCCCTTATTGATGATTATGAGTAATATTCTGGTAAAATTTTAGGAATATTTAGCATGACCAATATTATTATCCATGACATTGAATTACAATCATTGAAGGGGGCACAGGGCATTCCAACATAGTTTTATTTTTAATTTTTAATTTTTTTTTATCTAACACAAGTTGTTTTAAACAAAATTCTTAAATTTAGATTTAGTTTTAAACTTAATTTTCAAATTCAAGATTTCATGAATTTCATATTTAAAAAACTCAAGAGTTGAAGTCTTTGTTTCAATAAAATCATTTAAAATACAAATTACTCCCATGGGTTTGAAAATTACAATTACTTTTTTTTTAATGAGAATTAGTCATTTAACTTTAGTTAACATAAAAAATAAAATTCCTTAACTTCCGTTCTCTACAAAATGATAGTATCAAAAACTGTTAATGAAATAATGACTAATTAATAAATGAGGTAATTTGTTTTACAATTAAAAATTCTAAGAGATAAAGATGTAATTTAGCATCGTAAGTGATTATATTTTAAACAAATCTTAGAGAGTGCAATTTGTAACTTGTCTAAATTTTTATATAAAATTATGGGCTAATTACGGACTTATTGTAATTCATTTATTTAATAACATAAAGCCCATAAATAAGTCAAGCAAAGTTTTATAAACCTCGAGAAATATGGGCTTGTTGTAACTCATTCATTTAAAAATATAAAGCCCATAAATCAAGCTAAGTTTTATAAGTGACCAATTAAAGTTCAACTCAAAAACTGCCAACCAATTAAAGTTTAACTCAAAAATATTTTTTTTAATTATTATTAACAATTATTATTAATATTATGACAAATGTTTTATAGACATTATTTAAGAATTGTTTGGGATGACCTAAATAAGTGCACTTTTTGTCTTTTTTCGAAAAGATGTGCAGAAAAATAAAGAAATAATGTGATGAAAAAAAGATAAAAAAAAAAAAAAGTAAAGAGATAATGTAATGAAAAAAAGATAAAAAAATAAAAAACTTGTACTTCTTTTGGATAGTCAAACTTTACCTTAATATTGATAAATATATAAACTTTTTTAATATTTAAAAATATATTAAACTTTATTCTACAAATATTTTGTACATCTAACAAAATCTAAATGCTATATTTTTATACAGAATTATAAATTAATTTTTATATAAATATTATATCTAATCTTTGCTCAATCTTCATCAGCTCCATCACCAAAAAGAAAACTTCACATAATGAAAATGGTGGATCGGCCAAAGCGGGCCAACCCATGAAGTTTCCACAAATTATGTCAGCCATATGTCTTGATAGCCATACAGCACTCGCCTAACGAGTGCGAGCGTGGCATATTTAGCCAACCGACCCTTTTTAAAATTTCACTAAAAGCCCTACCCATTTCTTGTACAGCTCACTACCAAGTCCTTTTGCTCTCACTTTCGATGTGGGATACTACTAGCCAACAAAATTCACTCTCCTCCTATAATATTAGAGGCATATTCACCAATCATTTTTTGAATTAAATTTCCCAATTTGTTTTTAAAAAAATTATCAATGTTTGGTTGTTGGAGTTAAATTCAAAATCTAAGTTAAATTTTGTAAGTTAAATTCAAAAGTTCCTCTATTCTGTTTGGATTCTAATTCAACGTACAAATAAGAACAAGTTACATAAAGGCTTATTTTGAGAAGATGGTAAAAAGTGACTTTTTGACTTTTAACCAAGTTTTTGACTTTTTTTAGACAAATGATTTGGGAAGTTGGTAAAAAGTGACTTTTGACTTTTTTTTATTAATATTTGTTTATGATGCCAAATCATAATAAAATGACTAAACTACCCCCATTTATTTAAAATATTTACAACTTCACCTATGTAATACATTTTGACCCATGAGGGGTAAAATTGTAATTTCACCGTTGGCTAAAAACCAACTTTCCAAATGAAAAAAAAGCCAAAAAAACCAACTTTTAACTTTTGCTACTAACCAAAAAAAGTGACTAAAAACTATGTTGCCAAAATCATAGCCATCGAAGAGGAAGAAGTTGGTTTCGCGAGATATAATAACGAAAGTAATAGGCAATTGTTTGAGACAAGTATGAGCAATTAGATGCCTGCTGAAATATCTAATCACTTGGACAGAAAGAAATCAGAATTTTTGTTTTTTCCAAATGGTTTGGAAATTTGGATTTTTAATTTTTTTTTTTTTTGGATTTTTGGACTTAGCCAAACAAAAACTCTTATTTTTCTTAAAAATTTAGTTCAAAAAGTGGAACCAAACTTGGTGATTGTGTTTCTCTTTCCCCCACCTAGGGATGGTAATTGATAACTTACCTTGTGGGTATCTATGGAGATCTAACTCAAATACATAGGTTTTTCTCTCTTTTTCTTATCTATTGGGTAGGGTAAGTGATATTCTTTAAATATCCACAGAGGATGGGTTGGGAATGGGTACCCACTAATTTCCCCATATGTTTTTTTTTTTTTTAGATTCACAACCAAAACTAAATATACATTCAATCTTTTTTCTTTTTTTTATTTATTTATTTTTTCAGGTTCACAACCAACTCTTTTTTTTTTTTTTTATTTTTATTTTTATTTTTTTTAAGATCCACAACCAAAGCTAAATATACCTCCAATCTTTTTTTATTATTATTTTTAAGGTTCACAACCATTTTTTTTTTTAATTTTTAAGATTCACAACCAAAGCTAATATACATTAAATCTTTTTTCTTTTGTTTTTTTGTTTTTTTTTTTTAAGATTCACAACCAAAGCTAAATATACATTCAATCTTATTTTATTTTATTTGGCTCAACAATAAAATCAAATACACATTAATTAACATTGTCACATTATTCTTGTCAAATTTTATGCATATCTAGAATTTTTTAAATTTATTTAAAAAAATTAAGGACACTGTCTAGTGTAGGTTTCGGTTTGCTTTTCTATGTTATTTTATTTTGTTATGTATTGTAATTTTCAGAATGGTTTGTTTGTTCTGAAATTTCAATTAACGAGTATGAATCTATTTGTTTTATGTTATCACACAATTTATACAACATTTATATATCTATACTATATATATAAACAAATGTAGTAGAGTATGAGATTAATATTTTATCTTTTAAAATCATCAATTACTTATCCATACAAATTTTAAACATGATAGAATTCCATATATATCTTTTGTTTAAACATAATCTTTTTAATATAAAAACAAGTTCCTGCAAAAGAAACTATGAACAGAAAATTGGGAGAAAAACAATCAACATTGAGCCATTTCTGATCCCTTTTCGGTGCCTAAAAATCTTAAATATTTGCTTTACATTTGAAATGTGTACTTGCATGAGTTTTTGCATTTGTAAGAAAGTGAGTTCATATAAATAAACATTATTATTATTTTAAAATTTTTTTTTGTTACAATCTGTATTTTTTCCTTATTTCTTTCTTTTTGTTAATAATTTGTCATTTAATTGAGATTTTATTCTTTTTTTATATTTATAAAAGCACTGCTATTATCAATTTGTAACTCTCTCACTTATTGATTATTTGTGTTTAATTTTTATTTTATTTTTTTGGTGTAAATGTTAGATTGAAAATAAAGAATCAAAATTTATTGGATATGGGTTATACTTTAAATGTATTCATCAGTTGATTTTTTATTATTGATTATCCTATTGAAATAATTCATGATTAAATTTATTTTTAGTAACTCATTTCCTTTGATAACTAAACCACAAATTTCTTCTTTGTTTAAATTATTTATTTATTTATTTAAATTCAGAGTTTGAGCAAATGGAAGATATCTCATATTTAAAATGTTAATTTTTTTTTGAATAATTTAAATATTTATATTCTTTATGTTTGTCAATTCAAGTATAATGCATTTTCAAACATTTTTTTTTAATTTTTTTATAATCATTCCAAACCTATTTGTGTTTAATGAATCAATATAATGAAAAAACAAATAGCATGTAAAAAATTTTAACCGCCCACTAACTAAATATAATGGGAATTAAAATTAATTTCATTTTAATTTATTATATTATATGAGATGATTACTGTAATATCTACTATTGATTAAGCAAAATTAGTGTTACTTTTATTTAATATATTAGTCATTTTGATTAATTATAATATGCCTTTGTTACTCTACTTTTGGTTTTCTGAAGTAATTCTTAAATAAATTAGCTATTATATATGTGATGATTTACTAATGTATGATACTTTTTTAAAATTTTCAACAATGTGAAATATTAAATATTTTTAATGATGTGAAATAAGATTTATATACACAAACCAAATAAAAATATTAAGAAATATAAACAAATAGCAATTTTTTTTGTAGTAATTATTGACTTTCTAAAATCTTGTGCATCGCACGGGTGACCACTAGTATATATATATATATATATGAATGTATTTGAAAATAAGGAAATTGTAGAGAATCAAAACAAGCATGAGTCGTGATTGGTTAGAAATGATGGGTACAAAGATTTATTTGCTAGAAAAACAAAAAGGGGATACAAAGTCTTACTAAATAATTTTTTTTAAATTAAAAGAATTTTTCTTAGTTATGAACAGATTTAACTGAAATCAGCTTGTTTCCGAATGCTATGCTTCATTTATTTAGATAGAAAATATTTTTTAATGAAAAATATTTTTTATAAAAAAAATTAAAAATATATTTTTTAATATTTGGTGGTGGTGGTGATGGAACGAAAGTGAAAGTAGAGATTGTTACATAGTGGTGGGGTGATGGCGGCAGTGATGATGGTAGTGGCTATGGTGATGGTAGTGTGACAATGAAAGTGAGAATAGTGGTGATGGTGTTGTGAAATTAGTAAAAATTTAATTGAAAAAATATTTTTTGTTTTTTAAAAGTAACAAACAACAAAATTCGTGGGGGACTAAAGGAAGAAGATGGAGGATGGATTGGGTGTGGTAATACATAGATATCTTAAAATGAGTGGTTCAGATTTGTTAAAGGTATAATTAGATTTTGGATAAATTAAAATGAATTGTTCAAATTTGCTAAGAGAAAGATGGTTTAATGTCTAAAATGTCCGTGGCTAAGAGATCAACAAACAATTCCTTGTTTATGCCCTGATGTAATTTAATATGAGTCTTATAACACTTTCTTCAAACAGGTTCTTTCACATTTTATTTCTTCAAACAGGTTTTTTCACATTTTATTTCTTCAAACAGGCTCTTATAATATTGTAATCAGGTTCTTATAACATGTAGAGGAGAGAGTGAGAATGAGAGAGAGAGAGATGGTTGTAATTTTTTTTAATCTTCCACGTTCTTCCATATTTTTTTTTTCAATTACTAAAACTTATTTGATTGTCTCAAAATTATATATTTGATTATTATAAAACAAACTTTTTAATTAATTAATTAATGTGTATTTGATTTTGTTGTTGAACCAAATAAAATAAAATAAGATTGAATGTATATTTAGCTTTTGTTGTGAACCTTAAAAAAATAAAAAATAAAATAAAAAAATAAGTTGTTAACATTAAATATATTAAAAAAGAAAATAAAAAGATTGAAGGTATATTTAGCTAAAACCTTTATAAAAAAAAGACAAAAGAAAAACAAGAAGGTTGTTAACATTAAATATATTAAAAAAGAAAGAAAAAAGAGTGAAGGTATATTTAACTTTTGTTGTAAACCTTAAAAATAAATAAAAATAAATAAATAAATAAATTGTTAACATTAAATATATTAAAAAAAAAGAAAAAGATTGAAGGTATATTTAGTTTTTGTTGTGAACCTTTAAAAAAAAAAAAGTTGGTTGTTAACATTAAATATAAAAAATAAAAATGGAGATTAAAGTGGGTTGAGGAAAATCCATACCCATTAAAAAATGGGGAGGGTGGTACCCATGGAGAATGGGGAATGTGGAATGGAAAAAATTTATTATAGAGGAATGGAGATGGGGAATTATATCCACCACATTGCCCCCATTGTCATTCCTACCCCACCAAGAAAAAGAAAAAAATAAAAGTAAAAAAAGATTAAAGTAAACAACTCAACACTAGTATTGTTGAACAAAGTTTAAAAGTTGTAAACAACTCAACACTTTCCGAAACTGTTTTTGTTACTTATTACAAATAGGATTAAAGTTTACCTACTTTGATTAGGATTAGGAAAAGGATGACTTGACCCTTTAGGAAACAAGCGCAACCTATAAATACAGAGCTGAGCCCCTCATTCACCATCAATCTTCAAACACAACTTCACCATTCCATTCCCTTCCCAAAAGGCAATGGTCCAATTTCAAGAGGGTGTAACCATGAAGTCTGTGAATCACTGATGTTTGAACAGCACATCTTTTGAGGAATTATTCGATGGTCCTGGAATATCACATAATTTTTGTGTTAACCACTCATAATCGTCCACCTCATATTAAATGGATCCAAAGTTTCACATTTTCAACTCATTTTTCGTACTAATTACTCATAATTTGTCCTCAATTTGGTTCAGGGAAGACATTGTTGACATCAATTCCATTGGTAAAGTATAAAAAAAAGATAAAGATAATGATAATGATGATGTATATAGTTCAAGAAATTACAAATTGAAGGAAACAGTTGGGAAGACACTGATACCCACAAACTTTGTTCCTTTATTACAAGATATAGTTTTATGAAAATGTGTCCCTGTGGTTCTGAATAGCTTCATAACTTGAAATGGTCGAGCCCAGACTCGTCAAGTGCCCTAGACATAAACTTGCCAATATAATCACTTACCAGAAAATCCTTATACAGAGGAGGATTTTCTTCTGTTATCAATTCTTTGATTGGACCATACAGCTTTGGAGTTCCAAAAACACCATTGAAAAAGGATGCCACAGAAATTCTTGGTCCAACATTGTTGGCAAGCACTCTATGATCCACACTCCTAAACTTGTCATTTGATATTATCTGAATCAAAATAATAAAAAGAACGTTAGAAAGTTTTAAAATGTAGCAATGCCGCATACCTAGAAAAAATACTCAAAATGCACTTTGATTGGAGTAATTATCATGTCTTCTTGGAACACCGCATTGGCTATGTGCCCATCGAATAACAGGGAGCTATGTGCTTATGAGCAATGATTGAGAATAGACCCCCACAAATTTGAACTACTCATGATGTGGATCCTACATATACAAGAGTGGGCCTCACATGTACATGGAGGGCTAGGATCACTTTGGGGGTGTGGGAATCATCTTCAAAGGAGGTTCCAAACATTTTCCACCACCATAAATTTAAATTTTTTCTGAGTATTTTTCTAGATACATAGTATTTTTGTTAAATGGTGACAAATGACAAATAATTTAAATTGGAACAAACCTGAAGAAGATCACCAATGTTGACTACCAAACCTCCATGAATTGGTTGAACATCAACCCATTGATTTTGGTGCATGACTTGGAGGCCTCCAAGCTGGTCTTGTAGGAGTACAGTGAGGAATGCAGGATCAGAGTGCTTGCTAGCTCCCAAAGTCAGCTCTGGCTCTGGGCATGTTGGATAGTAATGACACACAAAGGTGCGCCCTCGACCACATTCAATTGCTGTTAAGTGGTTGCGTTTGAGGCCAAGTGCCTCTGATAATAACTCAAAGAGAATATCTCCCAACCTAGTAACATTCTTAATGTACTCAATTGTTGTAGCTCTGCAAATTTACAAAGCAAATTAGGTAGCGATGAACTATGGTTCTGATCATTTCAAATTTTTTACATGGGTAATCATATAACATTTTGAAATTGCCGGAAAATCTTGGAAGAACTACATTTAAACCGCCATATCAGGATTTCAACCTAAATTCTGGATTACGCATAAAACAGACTCCTAATGGTTGTACAAGTTGTTACACCAAGTGAAGTAGCATAGACATGAAAGTACAAGACACGATACACCTTGGTGATTTTTCATTTTAAAATTCAAAATAAAAGATGCAATTCATGCCGCTTTAATTACCAATAAATAGAGGGGCATCAAATACAGATTGCATACTTCCAAAAAAAAAATTCTCTCATTTTCTGTTTGTCATATATAATTTGTTGTATCTTGGAGGTGAATTGGTTGAATCCGACAGCAAACTCTTTTAAGGGTGGGCAATCATAAGCCCATGGCATGGCCTTATGTTTTCCTAGCACGTCGGGCATTTTACCCCCACCCACTTGTTGACCCATGAGAGGCGGTTCACCAGCTCGCAAAAAACTAAAGAAATAAATAAATAACAAAAAAAAGTAAAAGCAAAAAATGATAAGCTCAAAAGTAGGTCCAAATATTGGCCCATTGGACTTAGGCCGCTAGCCCATTTAGGCAAAATCCATTGGGCAAGACTTATTTTATGCCTAAGGTTTTGCCTCGGGCTAGGCTAGCCCTTCAGAAAAAAATGCCATTGAACTTAGCCCACGAGCGATTCTTTAATTTATTGATGAGAGAGATGGGGGGTAGGAAGAAAACAACGAAATCACATATATAGATTTCTCCGTTTCTAATGATGGGATAGTCCATATCGCATAAGCAATAACTCTAGCTATTCAATGATTGAAGTGCCCCACATCCTAATTATCATCAAAAGTGGATAACTTAGGTATAAGTTTGGTCTCTAATTTCAGATCAATCAACCATATGATTGATTGATTAAAGTGTCAAGGTCAAATAGTTACAAAGTTACGTAATGTTATTCACCAGAGCAATTGCTCAAGTCTTTCCAAATTTATCAACAATGATGACGGTTGATTATCAATCAGGATTCAAGCATGTAAAAGAAACTACACACCTGCATGATGTGGGAAATTCATCAGGCTCAAGATGATCAGAAACCAACATGGAGATGGTCAAGGTGTCCCTCCAATTCGCAGATCTTGACCGATACAAATCATAATTGCTCTCGAATCTCACTCTTTTTATCCGATCACGCGTATAAATCGCTTTCTTTACCTCAGGATCTTGTTCATGAAACATGCGTATTCCCTCAATCATTTCATCCAACACACTTTGGGGGATTCCATGATTCACCACTTGAAAAAATCCCCACTTCTCTGATGCAGCTCGGACTTGATGGACAACTTCCTCACGCCTATTTCCTATTTCAATACCACTGAGATTAATGATTGGAACTTGTAAGCCAGCCTGGCAACGGTTCAACTCCTCGGCAAGCTCATCCGGTGGTCGAATGAAAATTTTTGGGACTTTGTCCACCCCAGCATCTATTAGCCCTTTGACACCGGCTTTTGAATCATCAAAGGCCTTCAGCTCTTTTTCCCTATCATAATCCATTCTTTGTTTCATGCAAAGGGAACAATTTTGAGGAGAATTAGTTGAAGTACACCAGATTTTAAACAGCATTTGCTATTGCTTAATCAATCAAGTTGTCATAAAATTAGTTGAAGTACACCAGATTTTAAACAGCATTTGCTATTGCTTAATCAATCAAGTTGTCATAAAAATATGAATTTGGTCGTATATCACAGTACTTTATGGTTCAAAATTATTTTGTAAAGTCAACTTTGGACTCCAATAGGTACATGGGACAGTTAGTCTAAGGGCATATGTACACGAACCTGAAGCTTTCTGTCAATTTCAGAATCAACTACCTAATGTCAGTTTAATCGGAGTAGGACGAGGTCCCACACCCAAGCCCTAGATAGCGGGGGGGGGTTTTAATGAGTAAACTCTCTAAGTTTGTCCTCTGTCAATTTCATAATCAACTACCTAATGTCAGTTTAATCGGAGGAGGACGAGGTCCCACACCCAAGCCCTAGATACAATTTGTCCAGCACTTAGAAGATCAATGTCAATTTAATCGGAGTAGGACAAGGTCCCACACCCAAGCCCTAGATACGATTTGTCTAGCACTTAGAAGATCGTCCTAGGACCACTGCAGCAAACCTTTGGGAGTTGGCCTTGAGGAGTGTAGAACTTGTGATCTCAGGACTTATGCTCCAAAATCTTGCCAAAGTGCCACAACCCCTTCGGTTCTGCCTCTATGGCATGTTCAAAGTGTCTTAAATTTTTTTTGTAATGCCTGTTTGAGTTGACCATGATACTCTAACTCTATAACATCATTCAATGGTTGTAACAAAACTACTTTAATGAATATAATAATTTTTTTTAAAACTACTTTAATGAAGTCTACCAAATTTTAAACAACATTTGCTATTGCTAGTTGTCATAAAAATATGAATTTGGTCATAAATCACAATACTTTATGGCTCAAAATTATTCTGTATAGTCAACTTTGGACTCCAATAGTTACATGGGGCAGTTAGTCTAAGGGCATATGTACATGAGCCTGAAACTCTGCCGCTATGGCATATTTTTTTTTTTTTTTTGGTTTAACGAATAAACTTTCAAGTTTGTCCTTCGCTGATTTCGAAATCTATTCAGAGTAGGACAAGGAGCAAATCTCGGGTCTCTGCCGATTTCATAATCTAATCGGAGTAGAACAAGGGGCAAACATTGGGTGTGTGCACTGACTCTACAACGCATCTACACCCAAGCCCTAGATACGATTCGTCCAGCACTTAGAGGGAGGTCCTAGAACCACTGCACCAAACTCCTCAGAGTTGGCCTTGGGTTGTGTAGAACCTAGGATTTCAAAGCTTATGCTCCAAAGTCTTATCAAAGTGCCACAATCCCTTGGGTTCTGCCTTTATGGCATATTCTAAGTGTCTTAGATTTTTTTTGTAATGCGTGTTTAAATTGACTATGATGCTCTATCTCTATGACATTATTCAATGGGTATGACAAAACTACTTTAATGAATATAAGAAAAAAAATTTAAAACGAATATAATAATAATTGTTTTAAAAAAATAATGATAAATTCAACAGCCAATTTTAAGATAGACCGTCTTTCCTCACAGAGTAATGCTAGGTATCATGAAAAAAAAATCATAAAAATGATCATGAAAGATTTTCCACCATTAGATTACACATACAAGAAACATCGCACACTAATCGAAGGATGAGAAATCTTCATAAAACATTTCATGATATTTTATTTCATGATTCTTAGTATTATTCTTCTTGAAATATGGTAAAAGAATTTTGAAATAAGGAATAATGTACAATTAAATTTTCTAGAATTGATAAATATGAACATTTTATGTCTAGAAAGAAAAGTAGTAGGTAATAGGGGGTGGCTATGGACTTAAAAACTATTCAATGCTTCTGAACAATCACCAAACATGCATAGAGATAATGGGTATAGAAGTTATATATACCTTTTCTGGAGAATGTTTTGTTTTCTGTTTTATATATTTCTGGTTTTCTATTATGTATTTCTTCTATTCTACTCACTCTATAAAACTAGTAACTTTCCATTGTAATATATCCCCTTATGAAATGAAACTCTTCTTTCTTGCCAAAAATACATTAACCCACTTTCCTAAAATAAAATAAATAAAAATTACTTCCAGCATCGAACACATCATACATTAGCATTAGCTTTAGCTTGACATTTCTAATGATATACTTGGAATTAAAACAAAACAAAATGAAAACTCAGGCGTTCAACCCTTAACAGAAAGCATATGCCAAGATGTTACATTTATGTGTACAAAAAGCAGAATTCCATCGGAAAGCTGTACAAATCAGGAAAAACAAAAATAAGAAAACAAAAAGAAAAGGGCAACACTGCCCTATCATTCCCCCAGGCATGCAATCAGCTCGTCACTTAATTCTGGTCTAGAATGGGAAAACAAGGAAAAGACCATCAACAATGCCTCAAGTTCAAGGCCAGTTAGAAACTTCTACACAAGAAAGCAGGTGATGCATGATTTCTTTACAATTCACTATACCAGTAAAGTCTACCAGGATTAATTAAAATTTGAAAGAGTCATCAACAGTGTAGACGAATGCTGCTTTATGTTGCTTCTGATACATCCCTCAATGTCCGTCTATTTCAATCTTGAATTCTTCACAAGATTTGAGGTAACAGTGTCCATTACCTCCTAAGAATTCATGTAGCACATTGCTTGCGCTTGCAGAAAGTAAGAATCCTTGTATTTTCTGCCACTTCCAATGTGAATCCCACTGCGAATCCAGTCCTCACGATGTATCCAGGCATCACGACCGAAATCAAGCACACCAAGAATCTGCAGGAACAAGTAACGTAACTGTATGAAGAAAAAATGGACAGTAAAAAAACAGACTGCGATGTTAATTTAGTCAGTGAAGATCTTCATGTGCAGATGTCAGTGGCGGTTTTTGAGAGGTAGTCAATAATGGACAGATATCAAGTCATTTCCTGATCTCAGCATTAGCTTTTAACGAACAACTACTATATCCAAACCTAACTAAACAATACACATTTTCATTTAATTAGCTCGATTTACTCTTTCATAAGCTTGGATTATTTGTAGTCCTTGATGAAGAAATTGAATTTTACATTAATTTTGGAAAATGGATAACTTAGGCAACTCGACTGATCCAGTTCTTGCACTACAAAATTGGTTTTGGTGGGTGGGGGCTGGGTAGCTGCACCATGGCTCTAATAATGCAAAGAGTTACACCATGGCTCTAACTGGTTTGTTGATCTGTTCATAAAAATAAAAATAAAGGGTCTGTTAATCATTGTATATGCCAAAAATATTACTCACCAACCTTCTACATATTATTATATATTCAGAGCAATATTACCCCCCTAATGTTCAGATCATCATTTCAAAATACTACTCATAATGTCGTCATTTTACTGAAATTTTTTTAGATAGGTCTTTCATTCACTTTTTGGGTTAAAATAGAACTCATCCGCATTAAATTCCAATGATATATCCACAATATTTCTCGATTCCTATGGTTTAATGTCTTCAGCCAAAGCACATTTGAATTAATCATGTCATTAGAGAGGTAATGTATTTTAAATAACTCGTCATTGAAAAACTCTGAATGCAATCAATTTGCACTACATTTCTCTGAATTGAATCAACTGAAAAGAATCACTTACAGCTCCACCTTTCCACGACACAAAGGTTGGATTTGTTCTTGATTGTAAGACCTATAGAAATCATACCAATAAAAATAGAGGTCAACAATTCCACACCCAAAAAAACAAAAAAAAAACTGAGATGAGCACAAGACAATATATAAATACAAGAAACGTGGGATCAGGCAGGCAGAATTGCCTCGACACATTTAGTTTAAGAAACCAACTCTATATCAAATCAAGAACATGTTCTGTGCACACTACCAAGGTTAGAAAGCACGAGGACTACAGAAGAATTGGAACCAACCAATGTGAATTTCTTTGTGCACTCATGTGCAAGTGTGTCATTACTAAATTAGCTTATATTTCACTCACTTTTTACTTTCCAAATTCCTACTTAAATCCATGATCCAAACACAGCCTAAGAATTTAATTCAAAATCATAAAGTGGTGAGATACAAGATCAACGTCTGCAAGTCCTAAAGTGGTTGCCACGCAATCCCACAGAAGGGAGAAAAAGGGTATTAACAAAAATTTATTTCCATTAAATAAATAGAATGCAACATGTCCATCACAAAGTGGTACCTGCAAAAGGTGCAGTACAGTTTATTTTACTAAAGTAAGAAACTGTGGCCACCGGCCTCCACAAGACTCAGAAAATGAAGCAGATCTTTACCTACTGATAAGCAGAATAGAAAGAGAACCACGAGTAGAACTCATGACATCATTATGAATAACGAGTTAGAAGTGTCAACTAACCTCTACAGTGTCAATTGCTTCATTTGAAGGAATCGCATGTAATACTCTGAAACAAGAAAAATGATCAATGGCACATTTAAATTTTCTGTGGAAGTTGAATCAGTCTATAAAAATATATGTAGGTTGAGTGAGTGCTTTTCATTCCAATTTTCTCAAGAGTTGCTTCCAATATTGTCATTCTAGGCTTCCAAAGACTTTTTATGTAATACACTTTCATAATCATGGCAATTTTGTCACGTATTACATAAGAAGTCATGAAAATCCTAGAATATTGCATTAAGAAGTCATTTTTTCGAAGGCAAAGGCTCCTAAGAAATCTGATAATCTTATGTAATATATAAGAGTTATTTAATATTTGCATATTTATCAACAACAACAAAAAGTTATTTAATATTGCTATTGTTGGCTTCCAAGTGTAATATACTCTGACAATCATGGCTTTATTGCCACTGTTAATGTTGGTGCCTAAGGCCTAGATAATTCAATGATATTTTGATTTTTGTCAATCAATACAGTTAACAGATAGGTTAGATATGGGATGAGCTGTAAACCTTATTGTCCATACCTTAATATGGATATGCTCAAATCAACTATTGGAAATTTTCTTAGTGAGACATTTTGTATTTATAATTTCAACATGCACTCTTCCAATGTATTTGTAGCAATACAAGACATTAAATGATAAGCCTGTACTCCATGAAAGTAGAAGCCTTATAAACCAGGCAGGCTTTTGTAACCTGCTTGCCACAACAATCAGAGACAGTCAACCAACAATTTCGCCTATATACACGAGAGTACACATTTCCATTAAAAGTCAACTGATGTTAAATTTCAATTCTCAATCCAAGAGGCAACTCTTGAATTGAACAAGATGAGAGCTTATTGTAATGTGTTTCTGCTTGTTCAGACTCAAATTACGAATCTCTTCAAATTGTGTAATGTATAAAGCATCATAATAGATTATATTTAAGCGAGTACTTTCTTTAATACTACATAAGCAAGAGTTAAGCAAACCTCTCTTCTGCAGCAGAAATGAGACCAGCTGTCAAAGCAACACCTCCAAACTAAAACAAATAACAGTATCATTAATTCTATGCTAAAAATAGTATATGTAAAGTAGTACTCTCTGCAATTTACACAAACTCCGAAACTAACCAGTTGTATGCTACAAAATAATTTTCTTTGGAGGTCTATACGCCCTGTCAATAGAGAACCAAACAGATAAGTCTTGATGTAAATCTTCCCCTATGAGAGCATATCACTTTTGAAAGCAATCTACCTGTTGAAAGAATGCTCTTTGTGATAGCTTCTGCAAGGCCAATGCAATCTTCTTTCTTTGGTTTAGTTTGAAAAAATGAGTAGCTGTCCCACATTGGGAACCCACTATTAAGGCTGGAATACGAACCATCTGACATATCACTTCTTCTTGGAAATTCCATATGCCATGCATCTTCCAGCATATCTTCATAGTCATTAAACCTAGTGACGTAAAATCAGTATGTTAGAAGGTAGGAGAAAGAAAAAGGAAAAAAAGTAATTCAGCACAAGTAACTTAACAATGTAAAGCCATAAATCTTGAAAGTTACACACCAAAAACGGGGTGGAGGAGGATGCACATCTGGAACCAAAAGCATAGGGTAGAACAGACCCATAGGGGGAACCTATTTTAACAAACTATCAGAAAATAATTGCATTATCAAAAAAACTGCATTATATTCTTCCTACTACAGAAAGACAGCCAAGCTGAACATTTATCAAGGAGACAAATGCAACAATATTAAGGTCCAAACAGATATACATTCAGAGCTGTTAGTCTGGTCTTATGAGATCCAGCAGGCATGCCATCTTCATATGAATGAACTACAGCAACAGCTTCAACTTCCCCTTCCTGGATAAAGAAAAAACTAAACAAAATTAGCAGAGAGCATAACCAAGTTAAGATAAAGCAATGCTTTTTTTCTAGAGAACCTCAAGTGATAGCTAAGATATCTAAGGAATTTCTTACCATTACTAATTGATAAGACACCAATAACCACCTGTCTAAGATGCCGCCTTGTTAACTTGACAAATAATTTGGAAGAATGAGTTGATTTTGCCTTTTTGTTCAAGAACCTATTCTATTAACTTCTTTAGAACATCATTTTTCCATGGTTTGTTGATGCAAATACACAAAGATAAATAATTTACTTCAACAAAAGAAAAATAAATTCCTACGTCTATATTATTGTAGGAGTTGCCACATTCCATACCTTCTGTCTATGTCAGAATGTGACAAGTATCACAAATTACATCAGCATACAGAATTAACAAACTTATTTCTACAGCGTAGTCCTGGCTTGCAAAACCAATAGCAGATATTGAGTATGAGGTGAAAAGGTAGGTAGAAATGATTTCAACCCCAAATTGAATATGTAATGAGAAAAGAAGCAACTGCTAAACCACTAATAAAGCATACAACCTGTACTCCAATAGCTTGATCCATAAGCAAAATATTCATCATAAACTATGACCACATAATAGAGGTAACGAGCATTGTCCTAAAAGTTTTGAATGTCTCAAAATGCAACTTCTAACACAGCTTTCAATGCATGAATCCTCAATTTTGTGTTGTACGTTTCTTATACTTGGATGTCATTCAATCATAAGAATGCGAAAATATATGTCGAAATTGGACAGTGCATTTAAAACCCTAGTTTTGATTGATAAACAGTGAGTGGAACTGGGCAATATCGGAACACCATATGCTTAGTCCCATTGGATAGCATAATTAATAGACAAATGTGAAATTCATCAGAGAACTTGGGTAAACCAAATGCATACTCTCAATACAAGCATCATTGCCATCTCATTAAGGAAGCTTCTAGTACAATATGACACCCTCACATACCCATTAAACTAGCTTTCAAGTGTAGTAAATGATGACACCATATTGAATGCCCAAATATTTCCATACATTCTAAATATTGTGCTAGTCTAATACATATTCAAACAGTACAGCTGTGTCGGAAGAACCAACCAGCCCTATCATATCGCTCAGAAAAGAAGAAAGAAAGAAGAAGAATTATTAGTGAACTCACTTTAATCTGACAATACATCTCTTTAAGTCTGTTGAGCATCAATAAATCCACAGGCTTTGTCAAAGCATCAGTACGAATTGGTGGCCATGTCTGATGATGCCTCTGTGTCCAGAGAAGGCATCTTGATATATCCTAGAAGAGAAATCAACAATTATGCAGTTTAAGAAAAGGTAACAAGAAAATCATCAATATGAAGTCATAGCTGAAAGATCAAAATGAAGTAGAATTATACATCCAGCAATTTCCTCACAGTTAACATGTAAAACAAAAACAAGTTGAAATCTGAAATCAGAATCTAAACCTCTCCGCCAAAACGTAAAGTCATCTGTGTAGTTGGTAGAGCAACTCCATCCTGAAACAAATATAATTAGAAATTATTCTGCCTACATGATTTTAAACAGAGACAGACAATTAACTGAAAAACATAGATGGTCGAAGCGAAAGTGAAAGCATAAATTCAATGATTTGGGCACCATCTGAGAAGCAGAGAAGGATGCATTTGCCTTTTTTTCTCATTGCTTTGCTCCTTCCCACGAGTTATGCAAGTTGGCAATCAAAGGCAACATTTACAGAAAACACTAGAAATATATGTTCGGTAGTTGAGCATAGAAGTAATGGTGATTATTGAAATGATATTAGTGCTAGAGAGAGAATGGCACCATGAAGGTTGTGGCACTTGTTGCGACAACTGAAACAACAGGTGGCTGCAACAATCACTTAAATTCATACTGATGACACAGTACTGACAGCATTGACCCTGGTAATGATGTGTATGGTTGCATAATCAACACCATGAAGTTGGTAACAGTGACAAATAACCAACATTCAATAGTGCTCAGGGCAGTGTTGGCGGTGATTTTAATTGTAGTGTAATCTGTTAACTATGCTGACGGTGGGGCACAAGCAAAAATTAAATACTACTGCTTTTGAAAAGCAATACAAGATTATTTTTATACAGACAATTATATTTTAAGTTCAATTACCAAGCATAACTACTTTGTGCTCAGTTGCTCCTATATGATAAAACGGCACACAGAACATGCAACTGAATCAATGCTTTTAGTAGCTTATTGAACTGCACAAAAAATAATGTTAGAATTGTCCACAAGAAGTAGGTAAACAAAAATATTACCTCAATGCAGATTACAGATGTCACCTGGGCACCCATATTTACCACACATGCTGTTGATAACCCATTTCCAAAAACTGCAGCTAGACCTTCCTGATCAAAACCATTACATGTTTAGAAATTAGGGACATCACACACTGAAGAAGGATCTCCATAGAGTGCTAATTAGAGCCTAAAAAAGATGTTTAATATACAGGAAAAGCAAAATATACAATATATATATGCATATATATAAAGCACAGCAATCCTGAAAGCAATGCTGCCGCTAATACCACTAAATCCCCAAATCCAATAATCTTTCTTTTACCTTATGTTACCCTGAATCTACAATCTTTCCTTGGTCTAAACCCACCATGAAAATAGACATAAACATCTTTAACTTAACTTTCGTAAAGTCATCCAACACCACACACAAACAACTCAAAAACTAATGTGTGTGTTTTGTTTGAGTTTTTTGGATTAAGTTTTTTGAAAACTAAGTTTTTTGTTTTTCGTGTTTTTTTGTTTTTAGTGAATATTTTTAAAATTTTAAGCATATTTTTTTTTTTTAGATGCACCTTACTTAGATATATCTAAAAAGTAAAAAAATTGTGAAAATTTTTTTAAAAAAATTAATAAATACATAAAAATACGAAAAATATATTGAATTCTCGTATTTTTTTTTGTATTTTTGGTATTTAGTGAATTTTTAAAAGATTTTTTTCACAAAAATTATACTTTTTATGTGTATTTATGTTAGGTGTGTCTAAAAATAAAAAAAAATGCTTAAAATATTGAAAAAATTCAGTAAAAACAAAAAAACACAAAAAACAAAAATGTAGAATTTTTTGAAAAGTGTTTTTGGAAAACCAAAAACAAGCAAAGTGAATATAAGTCATAAAATCTAAACTAGTTGCAACAAGGGTCTGCATAATTACTTGGTTAAATATTAGTTTGAAGCCAGTATAAAAAACTAACATATAGGCCACCTTGAAAAATGCAATCAAAGAAAATTTTCCCACCTGGTGGACCACTGCTGAGCTGAAGTGCAAGTCTCGCAATACGATAGACAGCATCTCCTTTATTTCTGCTCATAACAATAACACAAATGCTGCACTAAGTAACTTTCTTAAACATCTACACGTTTTTTAATATCATAAAGATGAATATATGACTCTTCCTTCTCTTCATCTATATGTTTTCCTCTATTAACATCATTGTAGTTTTAGTTGGTTCCTTTAAGTAATAATAATCAACTAATCAAATGGAAGGTATTAAACAAAGACATTCAAGTTTAACACGAGTAACAGGGTACAAGAAGGATGCCGATCAACAACAAAAAAAAAAAAAGGAGAGAGAGGCAACAAGAAGTATACTTACGGTTGATCGAAATGACAATTGCTTGTTTTGAAGAAGATACGACCATTATTCTCATATCAATGCAACAAACCCAGTTTCTAGATAGAATATAAGGCATCTTCAAGTTGTATTGCAAAACCGTTACTTTGCAATCTATTATTCCATGGTCAAATATGTGCAGTATATGACAACTATTACAACAATATGAACTTGTGTGTATACAAGGCATGTAAGTGCCTCTGCAACTTGTAAAGTATTGTATATTACCTCTCAAATATCAAATGAAATCAAGTAACAAAGTTCTTCCTTGCTAATATGACAGATTATGCTACAAAAGAATTTATTCTGGTCAAATACTGCTATTTACTTCATTTTGGGAGATTGGGCTTTGTTAGAGCATTAAAATTAAAATTTGGAAGAGCCCTAAGAGTAAAAAAATAAAACAAGTTAGCCCATCTATTTGTGGGCAAACAAACCTAACTTGGGCACATTAAGTTGACCTAGGGCTGGGCTTGGGCCACGTAGCTCAGGCTGGGAGGTTGAGCCTATGAAAGCACCAGTGCAACTCTGGCTGGGCCTGAAAAGGACCTCAGCTCAACCAAAACCACCTGAGTTGGAGCCCCATACATACGAGAAAGCTATAGTCAAATAGGACTATTGACTGTATCAGAGAAAACAATTAACAGGACAGGTGCCAAGACTAACCAACCCCGCCAGATTTGGATCCCCTATATATAATATCAGAAAAGGAAAGTCAAATAGCAATATATAAGCTTCATCAGGGAAAATAATTAACAAACTTCAAACTAATTATTCCCATCACTAAACAACAAAGGAAAATGAAGAGGCAGAAATAAAACCATACGCATACCACGATTATCAAATGTTTCTGGCACTACCAGAATAGCAGAAAACATGTTTCTTTCACTGTGAGGGATATGCAGTTTCTCAATCAAAATCCAGTCCCAGATGACTTGCATATCTTCAAACACCTGCAGGGAAAGTCAAAATGTACTTAAAAGGAATCACTTTCCTATCAAAGCATAGAATTTTTACAGAATACCATTCTTTTTGTCAGTCAAAATAATGACTTTTTTTTTTCTTTTTTTGAAAGAGTTATTGGGCTATAACAAAATATAAATATCAAGTTTATTTACTTCAACAATGCAGTACTGAATGTAAGCCATATTTTCAGGATTTATATGGCTGATGATATGGCTACTACAAACAGTAAGACATAAACTCAAGACGAAGCAACACTCTTCCTTTTGGTGAAGAGAAGTAGATAAGCTAACATACATATTCATTGAAAATCTCTGTCCCATACTTGAAGAAGTTAAACGGTGGTGTTAAAATTAGTACCTGCTGCATAGGATAGTGTTGAGAAATATTAAAGTGACCTCTGCGAATAGGACGCCGTAAGCAATATGGCTCAGTAGGGGATATTCTTAGAGCTTCCTCACCACAGATATATTCTCTGAACTTGCATGCACTTGAAGTAAGCTCCTTGCTGGCAGTACCTTCCCCCTGGTCTGGGGGCTCACTAATCTCACCATTGTTTGGGGAACTTTCTGCAGAAAGTCAAGAATAATTTATCCAACTCAAATGTTTAAGGAAAAGCATAACTCAAGTAATGGCTGCCATAGTAGGAAGGCAAGGAATTGTAAACCTACCAAACTACTGTAGTCAAGGTATGATTCACATGGGCAATATGTCTTATTTTCTACATACAATCTATTAACTGTGTTTATATTGTATTAGAGTAACCAACAACTGTCACAGGTAAGGTGCTGAGCAAAAGCATAGATAAAAGTTCAATTAAAAATGCACTTTGATTTGACACGTGTAACTGAATACAAGAAAGTTCAACAAATCACATAAGGAACTCCAAAGTGGTAATCATTACTAGTTCTGCAAGATACGCAGACAAAAAGGAACAAGCACGCACATGGGGCAGGCCAAGGGACAAAATCCATTACCTAATGCTGAAGACGAATCAGATTTTTTATCAAAAACATTGGTCCAAGTGAATGCTGTCTCCTTCCTGTTGCTCTGTGGAGTATTAGTATATCCATCAACACGTCCCATCTGCATAACAGATTCATTAGTTTGCGTGCAATCAGAGCATTCTGCATGTGTATCATCTTGCTACCTCAATGGTGTATTATATGCAGGAGGGCTGAGGAGAGTATTGAGTTGCTTTGTTGTTATGGAGTTGATTGTTTTTTCTTGTGGGCATGGATTGGGTGCTCCACATTTTTTTTCAAGGGTTTGGGTTCCACCTCAAAAACTAGGGCTTTCTAAAACTGTGCAATTCTTTGGGTACTTTGGTAGGAAAGAAATGCAAAGATTGTCTACGATAAGTTCGATGAATTGGGAGAGTAATGGGATAGGGTTCGTTATCTATCTTCATTTTGGCTTGGGTGTCAGTCTCGCCTCTTTTAAGGAGATTCCTTTGTTTTTTATTTGTAGCGGTTGGTGAGTATTTTGTGATTTGTAATTTCTTTTCTTTTTTCATTTGTATCATTTTGCTGGATCTTTCATCCTCTTCCCTTTAACCGATAAATTTCATTTATATTTATCCACCCAAAAAAATATAAACAGCATTTTGCATATGTAACTTCATTCTTATTCTTTATAACCACTTACTATCAGATTTTTATAAACGTAGGAATTTTTATGGCCTGAAATTTTTCAATGCTATAGACTCTTCTTCCATTACACAGTCTCAACTATGAAATTTATGCTTCTGCTGAATCAGTTAAAAGACCAAAAATAAAAGAGGAAGTATCTTTCTGTTGTAGTAAGGACTTCGTATAGGTGGCAGAGGATTTTGCCTTGTAATGAGGGGCAAGCATCGAAGGTCTTCTAAGGCACGGAACTGTCTTTGTATTGACTAAAATGATCACTACTCTTTCCTCTATTTTTTAAGTTGAGAAAGGATTGCAACTTTTGTGAATTTCATAAATGATATGTACATGGAAGTGTAATGTCCTAGGTTTGGTTTTTTTAGTGAATAGGGTTCACCCCCTTAAGGTGTTTTTCATAGTTTATAACATTTTATTTGCCTATCCAAAAAAAAAAAAAAAAATGGAGTGTCACATAAAATTGCCTTCCAACATGCAGATGTCAATGTGAATTTACATCCCTAAACTCACTTTAACAACTAACAATGTTAAAGGAATAAGAAATAATTTTTTTAAAAAAAATTGCTTAATGGATATCACAAAGATAACCACAACATTAGAACACCCATCGAAATGTAACCTACAGCAGTTGTTTTACCTAGTGCATCACCCTCTGCTCTTCTCTTTCCTTCTTTTTTCCAAAATACAAATAAAAATAAAAATTTGCCAAGCCATATTAGATAGTAAAAATCTAACAGTTGTAAAAATGTTCTTTTTATTGGACACAGGCAGCACTATTTATTTCTTAACTGAAAAACCAATAATAAGTTCAAATTCATACAGCTAATAATAGACTAAACGAAAACACTTCATGTACCTTCCGCGGGAATGAGTTGTTTGCAACCTCTTCATCTAGAAAAGGAATCTTCAACAGTGACGCAATCTGAGAAATAAAATGCAAAAACAAACAAATTTATATGCTCTAATCATGTGCAAGCGTAGCGCTAAACCAGCTAACAAATTCTACATACTTAATATATATGACAGTAAAAAAAACTATAAAATTTGTTAGCAGCAAGTATAGCATTTTCCATATAAACTCAGCAAATGAAACCAAAACATACAATATCATAGGACTTCTCACGCTCCATGTGTTGAGCAGTCGTAACCTGAGAATTAAGCAACTGAAAAACCACCAAAAAAAAAAAAACCAAGAATTGTCAACTAAAAATGTACCAAATAAACGTTCAAAAATTTAAAAAGATGGATAAATTAAAGCAATTGAGAATAGAAGGGTTTGAATTTGGGAGTAAAACTACTAAACTTGATCTTGAACATTTCTTTTAGGGGCTTGGTTGGCACCAGTGGTGCGTCGAGAAATGCAGTGAGGGATGTTGAAAGGAGTTTCTTGTTGAGCTAGTCCCATCCGAATGTTCGCGGAACCTAAGCATCATAAACAGATATGATGGAAAAACTTGCATAATGAAGATATGAATATACATGCATATGTTTAAGGGGGAATTAGGGTTTTTGGGGGGGACCTGGATTGATGACGACAAGATTGGAGCCTCTTTCGGCGAGGAGTTGAGAAGGAACCACTGTCTTGAGGTAATCCTGCGAGTATAGATGAGCAATTAGGGAAAACATTTTCAGATTGGTGATGAGAGAGAGAGAGAGAGAGAGAGAGAGAGAGAGTAACCATGGTGGAGAATCGAATTGCAGGGATGCAAGAGAGTGATGACTGGTGAGGGTAGTAGTATAAAAAAACGAAACTTGCTTTTCGTTTGGATCGGAAGTATAATCAGAGTAATGTTAGCTTACCCTAGCTAGGCCCGTTTGTTCGGCTTATAGGAAGGTGATTGAGTTTGATAACGAGGAGGGGATTGAAAATGGGGCGTTTGGTTTGAGAGGTAGGAAAAGTATTAGTAGTTTTTTGGAATTAGTAAGGAGGAGGGTGGGGGATCGGTACGGAGGAGGTAGAGATGATATTAGAAAAATAGTGAGGGATTATAAATTTTTTTATTTTTTATATGTTGAGAATTTTTTTTAAAAATATTAATGTTTAATTTTTATATTTTTTATTTGTTTTATTGTTTTATATAAAAATAATTTAACAATTCCTCACTATTATCTCCTATCAATCTCCTCACTAACAATTTCCTCACTATCAATCCCCTCCGTTCTATCTCCTAAAACAAACGGGCCCAGGTGTATACGAGTCCGGATCCTCCGCCGTACTGCGTCGCCTCCAAAACGATGTCGTTTTGAGAAAATTTCAATTGAAAAAAAAGGAAAAAGAAAAGGGACAGAGCAGAGGCAAACCAAAGGGAGAAGAAGGAAGGAACAACATATTCATGGAACAAATTTGATGAAACAGATTTGTGTTTGCCTGCTATAGATCGAACAAAGTCGAGAGTGAAAACCAAATCGTTCCGATCGATCGAAAAGAGAGAGAGTATGTCACTGTGGGGATATATTTTTTGAGTACCAACATGTGGCATGGTGATGCCGACGTATCAGCCGAGGTGCCACGTGTCGTGGTAGTTATGCCGAGGTTATCTTTGGCGAGGCCGAGGTGATCTCCGAAGATATCGGAATCCGAGATAAGCGGATAAGGAACAAGAGTCCTAGAGAAAAGAGAAGACTTAGCTAAGATAAGGATAAAACTTTTAGGGAGTTTAGAGAGAGAGAGAGAGAGAGAGAGAGAGAGAGTAACCATGGTGGAGAATCGAATTGCAGGGATGCAAGAGAGTGATGACTGGTGACGGTAGTAGTATAAAAAAACGAAACTTGCTTTTCGTTTGGATCGGAGGTATAATCAGAGTCATGTTAGCTTACCATAGCTAGGCCCCGTTTGTTTGGGGGTAATAGGAGGAGAATTGGGTTTGATAGTGAGAAGGGAATTGAAAATTGAGTGTTTGTTTTAAGAGATATGGATGGTACTAGTAATCTCTTAGGATTAGTAAGGAGGATTGGTAAGGAGGAGGTAGAAATGGTATTAGAAAAATAGTGAGGGGATTATAAATTTTTTTATTTTTTATTATTAGGAATTTTTTTTAAAATATTAATGTTTAATTTTTATATTTTTTATTTATTTTATTATTTTATATAAAAATAATTTAACAATTCCTCACTATTAATCCCTTCACTATTAATCCCCTTACTATCAATTCCCTCACTAACAATCCCCTCATTATTAATCTCCTCACTATCAATCCCCTTCATTCTATCTCTCAAAACAAACGGGGCCTAGGTGTATACGAGTTTGGATCCTCCGCCGTACTGCGTCGCCTCCAAAACGATGTCGTTTTGAGAAAATTTCAATTGAAAAAAAAGAAAAAAGAAAAGGGACAGAGCAGAGGCAAACCAAAGGGAGAAGAAGGAAGGAACAACATATTCATGGAACAAATTTGATGAAACAGATTTGTGTTTGCCTGCTATAGATCGAACAAAGTCGAGAGTGAAAACCAAATCGTTCCGATCGATCGAAAAGAGAGAGAGTATGTCACTGTGGGGATATATTTTTTGAGTACCAACATGTGGCATGGTGATGCCGACGTATCAGCCGAGGTGCCACGTGTCGTGGTAGTTATGCCGAGGTTATCTTTGGCGAGGCCGAGGTGATCTCCGAAGATATCGGAATCCGAGATAAGCGGATAAGGGACAAAAGTCCTAGAGAAAAGAGAAGACTTAGCCAAGATAAGGATAAAACTCTTAGGGAGTTTATCTTTATCTCTTGAAGAGTCCAAAGTCAGTATTGAATTGGAGTCCATAGAAGTTAGGCTTCTAGTGGGATTTGGATTAAGTAAACTATAAAAGAGAGGCACCTCCGTGGGTCTAAGGTACGAAAATTATGTTTTGAGCAATAAGTTTAGCACTTGATTATCTTTGAGAGATATACTGACTTGATAGTCGGAGTGTCCCCGGGTGGAAAAGCCATCGCCGGAGCCTTTTTCTTTCTGTTACAGGTTTGCTAAAGCCATCTATTCTGCCGGTGCTCTCCAGCTGATTACTAGGCGGGCAGTGTGGTCAGATTTTCACCCACACAATTTGGCGCCGTCTGTGGGAAACTTAGAAGAATAGATGGCCAGTAACGGACAGAGGGAAAACATTGGGGGCGACACTCCTACTGGGAGTGGCAGACCAATTGACCTTGACGTTGAAAGAGACAACCACAATACAGAAACTCATGGCCAGGGCCACGGAGAGAAAGACGTCGGCCAGGAGAACGACGCTTCGAAGAGGACAGACCAAAGCAAGTATTATAACGAAGACAACCTTCAGGTATGGAGGGATAGGTGCCTACGAAGGGATGAGGAAGTAAAAGACTTGGCAAACAAGTTGGCAGACCTACAGTCAGTGGTCAACTTCATGATGCAAACTAATGTCATGCAACCACCATACCCGCTGCAGGATACGCCAATGCCATCAACTAATACCCAGAAGGGAGGAGGAAGAACGATCCCCGAAGTCCCTCAGCACACCAGGAGCGGAAGGCACTCTCACCGACCTTCCAGGGAAGGCGGACGAGAAGAGCCGAGACGAGAGGAGTCCCAAAGAACGTATCACACGAAGGATCCAGAGCCCAAAGAACATCGCCATGTTCAAGGGCAGGCGCTTTGCTTTGACACAACACATAGAGAGAGATCAAAACGTACCCACCACGAGGCCGAAAGTAATGTGCCGAAGAGATTGAAATCAAAAGATAGCCGAGCTCCAGGAAGGAGTAAAGAAGACTTGAGAGATTACCTCAAGAGGAGGCAACAGAATGCTGAAGCCGAGGTAACTTCCCCGGTTAAGCCGAGAACACCATTCTCGCTGGAACTAGACAAATTTCAAGCACCGAAGCAATTCAGTATGCCGAGATTCCAAATATATGATGGTAAGACAGATCCCAACTTCCACGTTGGTCTATATCTGAATTCGATGGCATTGTATAGTGGGAACGAGTCGTTGCTTTGCAAAGTGTTCCCCTCGTCCTTCGAGGAAATTGCATCAGATTGGTTCCACAAACTACCAAAGGGAAGCGCAAAGACTTGGGAAGGCCTGACCGAGATGTTTGTGGCCAAGTTTGTAACAAATAAACTACAACCCTTGAGGGTCGACGCACTGATGGCTTTAAAGATCGCCAAGGACGAAGGCCTTAGGGCCTATGCAAAAAGGTACTACAAGGTGTTCAATCGAATACCGGATTGCAACCAAGAGGTGGCGGTCATGTCCTTCAAGAACGGCCTAAAAGATGACTGCCCACTACGGAAATCTTTGGCAAAAATATTGCCAAAAAGCATGGAAGAACTCATGCGCGAGAATAGAGAAGTACACCAGAGCCGAGGAAGATACGTCGAGAAATAAAGAAACAAAGCAGGAGAAAGGAAACGGCTCGCCAAAGCGAAGCCGAGGCAACAATGGACCAACCAAACAAGAAACGGAATTGAGGGGTAAACAGGCAGTAACAACTATATTCCGAGTCCCAATCCACAAAGTCTTGGATCAAATACGAAACCAACCCTATTTTAGAGCTCCAGCAAGAGCACCAAGGGAATTCATGGGAAGAAACGTTGGTAGGCGTTGTGCTTACCACAATGAAGAAGGGCACCCAACTCAGGGTTGCAGAGCCCTAAAAGCACACTTAGAAGACTTGGTAAGGCAAGGCCATCTGAGGGACCTTGTTGATGAGGCCAGGACAAGAGAAGAACAGGCAAGATTGCCTCAAGCACCTGCAGCTCCACCTCCCCCAGCACAACAACCACAGGCAGGAGGACCACGGGTGGTTAATGTAATTCACTCAAAGGTGAACGAAAGCGACATTCGGGGAGAAACCCAAAGAGTAAAACACCTGCAGCACGTGAACCAGGTCGGACATAAAAGACCTCGGCCTGAAGAGTGCCAATGACCGATGATAGCCTTCACTGAAGCTGACCTAGAGATGGTCCAGCATCCGCATAATGATGCCTTGGTAGTATCCCTCCAAGTTGGGGAGTGCCAAGTGAAACGCATCCTAATAGATCAAGGCAGCTCTTGTGACATCATGTACGTTAGATGTTACAAGGAGCTAGGCCTTCACCCAGACGACATGGAGCAATCGAATGGCCCGATGGTCGGCTTCAATGGGACACCGACGTAGCCACTGGGAGCAACAAGCTTGGAAGTGCAAGCTGGCACTAAGAAGATCAGGATAGAATTCATGGTGATTGACACACCTTCACCATATAACATCATCTTGTAAAGACCATGGTTGCATGCAATGGGGGCAGTTCCCTCAACATTGTATCAACTACTGCGGTTCCCAACAGAGCATGGGATTGAAGAAGTCAGAGGAGATCAACTGCAAGCAAAAAGTTGCTCCATGGCAGCAATGAAGTCTATTTGTAGCTTTCGAGAGCCAAAAGAGGCAGAAATTGAAAATGAGGACATAGAAGTACTAGAAGACGTTAGCAAAGAACCAGCCGAGAAGAGCGAAGAGACACTAAAGAAAATCCTCGCCCAAGAGGGCGACGAAGAGCGCTTCTTTCTTCTCGGCTCAGGCTTAGCCGAAGAAGAGGAAAGAGAACTAGAAGATTTTTTGAGAACAAACATAGAGGTGTTCGCCTGGACACCTTACGAAATGCCTGGCATTGACCCCAAGGTTACTTGCCACAGACTGAATGTCGACAGGTCAACAAAACCTGTGATTCAACGAGGCAGAAGACCGACGTTGATGCACGTCGATGCAGTAGAAGAAGAAGTAGATAGACTTCTGGAGGCCAGGGCCATCCAAGAAGTTCACTACCCAACATGGTTGTCCAACACAATAGTGGTGAAGAAGAAGAACGGCAAATGGAGGGTTTGTGTAGACTTACCAACCTCAACAAAGCCTGCCCCAAAGACAGCTTTCCTCTGCCCAAGATTGACCAGCTCGTAGATGCTACTTCAGGGCATGAAAGGATGAGTTTTTTGGATGCATACAGGGGGTACCACCAAATTGCCATGTACCCTCCAGACGAGGAGAAGACTGTTACAAGGTAATGCCTTCTGAGTTGAAAAACGCAGGAGCAACTTACCAAAGGTTAGTAACAAAGATGTTCAAGCACCTGATTGGCAAAACGGTAGAAGTCTACATCGATGACATGGTCGTGAAGACCAAGGAATCTAAGGGTTATCTTGCCGACCTAAAAGAGGTCTTTGATATACTCAAAACATACCGCTCCGCCTCAACGCATCAGAGTGCGCGTTTGGAGTTGGATCAGGTAAGTTTTTAGGGTATCTGGTAACAAGAAAGGGCATTGAGGCCAGCCCAGACCAAATCAAGGCCATCCTAGAGTTGAAAAGCCCGACGTCGGCAAAACAGGTTCAGATGCTTACTGGAAGGGCCGCAGCCCTAAACAGATTCATCAGCAGAAGCTCAGATAAGTGCAGACCTTTCTTCAACTTGGTGAAAAAAGCCATAGACTTTCTGTGGACAGAAGAATGTGAAGCCGCTTTGACTGACCTGAAGAAGTACTTGACCACAACTCCGGTTCTTTCCAATCCAGAACCAGGGGAAGAACTGTTTTTGTACTTGGCAATTTCAGAGCACGCAGTCAGTGCAGTACTAATTTGAGAAGAAAAAATGAAAGCAAAAGGCTGTTTACTATGTAAGCAAAACCTTGGCCAGCGCAGAAACAAGGTATCTACCACTGGAGAAACTAATGCTAGCCTTAGTAACGGCTTCAAAGAAGTTAAACCATTACTTTCAGGCGCACAAGATTGTGGTCCTAACAGAGCATCCACTGAAGTCCTTGTTGCAACAAGGAGACTTAACAGGAAGGATAGCAAGATGGGCAGTAGCCCTGGGTCAATATGACCTGGAGTTCAGGCCGAGAACAACAATTAAAGGCCAAGTTTTGGCCGACTTCGTGGCAGAATTCACGCCCGAAACCATCGAACATCGGGCTCCGTTGAGCCAGGATGAGCATTGTCCCAGCAAGCAAGGAGAATCCCAGCCAAAGGCAAAAGAGCAAAGGAAGGAAAAACTTAGACCCTGCAACATCTACATCGGCGACTCATTCAGACTGTTTGTCGATGGAAGTTCGAACAGACAAGGAGCAGGGGCAGGAGTACTGCTGATATCTCCAGATGGAGAAATAATAGAACAATCCATCCGTTTAGGGTTCAAGGCCTCAAACAATAAAGTGGAATACGAAGCATTAATTGCAAGGCTAAAACTGGCAGCAGCAGCAGCAGAAGCAGATGAGGTAATAATTTTTTGTGATTCACAACTTATTATTAACCAGTCAACAGGAGAATTTGCAACCAGGGACGAAAGGATGTCGGCATATGCAAAAGAGGTCATCAGATTGGCAGCCCTATTTCAGAACTGCCGACTACTCCAAGTTAGCCGAGATGACAACACCCACGCCAATGCGTTGGCTAACCTGGCAAGTTCAATGCAGACTGGAAAAACAAGGACAATTATGATTGACTATATGTCGGGCTCGAGCATAGAACCACAGAGCACAGAGCAAGAAGCAATGTGCGTGGACTTGGAACCAAGCTGGATGGATGCAATCGTTGCATTCCTAAAAGAGGGAAAGCTGCTAAAAGACCATAAGGAAGCACATAAAATCATATGGAAGTCGGCCAGATTCAGTCTGACGGCAGAGGGCCATCTCTACAGAAGGTCCTTCACTGGACCTCTTTTAAGGTGCGTACACCCTTTGCAGATTGAAGATTTTCTATACGAGATTCATGAAGGGATTTGTGGAAGCCACGCTGAGGGCAGATCATTAGCCCACAGGGCCATTACCCAGGGGTATTGGTGGCCCTACATGCAAAAGAATGCTAAAGCCTACGTGAAGAAGTGTGAACAATGCCAAAGGTTTGCACCTTTGATACATCAGCCAGCTGCTGACCTGAACCCAGTATCCAACCCTTGGTGGTTTGCCCAATGGGGCATGGATCTTGTTGGGCAACTTCTCCAGGCAACTGGGCAAAGAAAATACTTGCTGGTAGTAACAGATTACTTTACGAAGTGGATAGAGGCAGAACCTCTTGCCAAAATCCGAGATGTGGACGTCAAGAACTTTATATGGAGAAACATCATCACCAGATTTGGGATCCAAAGAGCAATAGTTGCCCACAACGGAACACAGTTGACAACAAACTCATCAAGAACTTTTGTGCGAAATTCTAAGATCAAGAATTACTTTTCAACACCAAGTTTTCCCCAAAGCAATGGGCAAACAGAAGCCATCCAACAAAGTAATTTTGGATGGAATTAAGAAAGAGGCTACAGGCAGCAAAAGGAAAGTGGGTAGACGAGTTTCCCAACGTACTTTGGGCATATCGGACTACGCCGAGAAGATCAACAGGGAATCCCCCTTTGCCATGGCTTATGCACAGAAGCAGTCATCTCATTGGAGATCGCGCATCCCAGGATCAGAACCTAGGAGTAGAGAATGGCACCACATGACATACTTTTAGCCGAGATCTGATCTTTTGGAAGAACGAAGAGAGAAAGCTGCAATTCAGCTCGCAGTATACCAGCAACAGCTTGCTAGAGCTTACAACAAGAAGGTCAATCCAAGAGATTTTCAAGTCGGCGACCTAGTCCTGAGAAAAGTCGTTGGCAACAAGAAAGATCCCAGAGAGGGCAAGCTTGGCCCAAACTGGGAAGGACCTTACAGAATACTTCGGTATTAGGCAATGGAGCTTATCGGCTTGAAGATAACGAGGGCAATGCACTGCCAAAACCTTGGAACACTTGTAATTTGAAATTCTTCTATCATTAGATGTGCAGTATTTTGGCCGATGTCATCAATAAAATCTTTTCCCTTTTCTTTAAAACACATATGATGATAAAGTTACATATTGCTGTGTTTTTGGGAGACATGAATAATGAGAACCCAGTAGACTCAGGTTCACATTGGGGCAGAGAGAAGACAGAGACACTCAATTCACTTGTTGAAATTTGTAGCAATTTACAAGTTGGAGTTAAGCTGATTCCTATCTTCACTTGTTGAAATTTTGTAACAATTTACAAGTCGAAGTTAAGCCGAGATTATTCCTTATCTTCACTTGGTTGAAATTGTAGCAATTTATAAGTTGGAGTTAAGCTGATTCCTTATCTTCACTTGTTGAAATTTGTAGCAATTTACAAGTCGAAGTTAAGCCGAGATATTTCCTTATCTCACTTGGTGAAATTTGTAGCAATTTACAAGTTGGAGTTAAGCTGATTCCTTATCTTCACTTTTGAAATTTGTAGCAATTTACAAGTCGAAGTTAAGCCAGGATTATTCCTAATCTCACTTGTTGAAATTTGTAACAATTTACAAGTTGGAGTAAGCTGATCCTTATCTTCACTTGTTGAAATTTGTAGCAATTTACAAGTCGAAGTTAAGCCGAGATTATTCCTTTAATTCACTTGTTGAAATTTGTAGCAATTTACAAGTGGAGTTAAGCCGATTCCTTATTCTTCACTTGTTGAAATTTGTAGCAATTTACAAATTGAAGTTAAGCCAAGATGACTGTTTCTCTTCACTTGTTGAAATTTGTAGCAATTTACAAATTGAAGTTAAGCCAAGATGACTGTTTCTCTTCACTTGTTGAAATTTGTAGCAATTTACAAATTGAAGTTAAGCCAAGATGACTGTTTCTCTTCACTTGTTGAAATTTGTAGCAATTTACAAATTGAAGTTAAGCCAAGATGACTGTTTCTCTTCACTTGTTGAAATTTGTAGCAATTTACAAATTGAAGTTAAGCCAAGATGACTGTTTCTCTTCACTTGTTGAAATTTGTAGCAATTTACAAATCGAAGTGAAGCCGAGGTTATAGTTTGCACACTTATAGCAATCTACAGGTTGGTCCAACCAAAGAAGATGCTTAACACTTGTTGAAATTTGTAGCAACTTATAAGATAATGTTAAGCCGACATGTGATCATCTGTTGAAATTTGCAGCAATTTGCAGGTTGAGGTAAAAGCTAAGTATATTGTTTAAACACTTGTTGAAATTTATAGCAATTTACAAGTAGATCATTGTCTAAACACTTGATTGAAACATTGAGAAACGTTCGCAAAGTTGACATTGAATAGTATATGTCTTACACTTGTTGAAATTTATGAAAAGTTTGCAGGTCAGTATCTTGCCGAAGTAAAGCCTGTAGTTATTATACCCGAGATATGTAATCCCGAGAAGATTGCACAAAGGTGGCAAAATATGAAAGGCATACAAAATATTCTAAGTATAGAACCATACAGAAGCAAATCAAGAGAAATTAAAAGATTAAAGCATCCATAGAAAAACAATTGCAGTTGTGTACAAAAGAAGGAACTACGGCCTACCAGAAGTAAATTGTTTCGAAATAACAAAGAAAGGCACATCAGCCATGAAAGGAAGCTTACATTGTCCAGAAAACAAAACAAAGTACAAGGGTGCAAAAGAAAAGACATGAAAGTTAAAACTTTTCAGCATCAGCAACTGGCTGGATCTGAACCTCAGAAGTCTCCTGAAGAGATACCTCGGCTTCCTCATCTGCAGCAATCTCGGCGTCGATCTCGGCAAGGGTTTCATCAACGCTCTTGCTGATTTGAGGAATGTCGGATGAACCCTGCTCCGGGGTAGCCTCCTTGATAACTTCATCATTATCTTGAGTCAGGTCTAGGACCTGCTCATTCAAAGAAGGAGACTTAGCCCCAACAGCCTCCTTGGATTTTCTTATTAAACCCTCCTCCTCACCCCCCTCCACATCTTCAGACTCAGATTCGGATTCTTCTTCAGGATGACTTGGAGGAAGAGGGGGAGGGAATGGCAGAGGGATATCATCAGCCTTGCGCAATGGCAAGTCATCTGGGATGTTGAGCTTTTTGGCAAGGGCCATCCAACCAAGGGAGAAACCCCTGTTGCATGCCTGCCTAACTTGCAGTTTGTACTCCTTAGTGACGTCGGCCATTCCTTGAGCATAAGCCTTCTCGTCAGCCTCCTTAATCTCAGCATCTTTGGTCGACCAACTTTGCTCTGTTTTCAAAAGCTTGCATGGAGAGAGAGTGGGCATGTTGGATGGCCTGAAAGAACACAAGGCACAAATTGTTACAAGATTTTACAAAGTAAGAGAGAAAACAAATTTAAGTACAAAGGCACTTACTTGGACAGAGCGTTGCAGCATAAAGGCGTAGTTCTCATACTCACTTATCTTGGCATTCTGCTCAAGATCACCTGGGAGGAGTAAAGCAGTACTGAGTGCCACGCCGACGTTTATATCATCGGCGCCGTCGCTGGCAAGGACAGGCGTATCCTCTAGAGTGATCTTAGGTGTCCAGGGGACTTTTGGTATTCTAGAACCCAAGGTCGTCGCAGACGATGACCTCGGCTTCTTTGATTTGGTGGACTTTGATGGCTGGGCCTCAGCATACCTTTTTGCAGAAGTAGAAGCAGTTTTTTTACTCTCAGCCAATTGAGAGATGGGCAGAGCATCCTCAGCCTCAACCTCAGTAGCTTTGGCCTTAGGCTGAACCCTTTTTGTTCTTTTTGGCTTTGGTGGGGGCATGGATTGGGTTGGTCCAGCATCAACATCAACTGGGAGGTTGGCTAAGAGATCTTGGGCAACAGGCTTCGGGCGGCCCATCTCAGCAGTTTTGACAAGTCGTCGCCGACGTTTTCTTTCGGATATTTGGACCAAGTATGGAGCTGAAGTTGATGGTTGATCGGCTGGATCAGAGGTTGACCCTTGGTCAGCCCGAGATGTTGATGCAGTTTGTAAAGTGGTAGCAGAGGGAGGAGATAAGCTCTTCTTCTTTCTTTTTGGGACGTCGGGCAGTGTAGACTTGTACGTCGGAATAAAATTCAGTATCAGTGGAGCCTTGCGCTTTTGGATTGGCAGATCTAGGAGCCTCTTTAAGTCTTTGCTGGGAATGTAGGATTGGCGAAAGTCTTTTGGTGGCTTACGAACGTCTGCAAGAAGAAACAGACATTAGAAACAGATAAAATATTAAAGACTTGAACAGAAACAACTAAGTATTGAGACTGGGCTCTTACCCTTACCCTCTTTAACTGATCGGGGAAGAGGGTAGAGATGGGCGTCCTCGTCTGTGCCAAACTTCCAATTTCCCGAAGCAATAACATAGTTATCTCCAGCACCCGTGTTGGAGTCTGGGAGGTCGGCTACGATTTTGAATTCAGTGGACCTCGGCTTAAGATAATAGACGAAGCCTTTTTCCTTCAGGTTAAGGGGGCACATGGTATAACAGTACTGGATGTCGGCAAGGGTGATCCTAGCATTCTCCTGCCTAGCTAAAACTATGATGCCATTGATCACTCGATAAGAGTTTATGGCAAGTTGCATAGGGTTCAACTTGTAAAAGTGAAGAATTTTGCGAAAGAGAATGTTAAGTGGGAGTCGGAGTCCGCACTCAGTAAAAGCTACTATGGGAAAGGGCATTGAATCATCTGTGGGCATGATGGAGTCGTTATCTTCAGCCAGCCTCAGATGGACATCGGCAGGAATAGAGAACTCTTTGCCTAAAGTACTCAAGTTTGGTCGGGGTGTCTACCCTATGTCTTCACATACCCATAACGTCGGCCTAAAATCAGAGGGCTAGGTTTCAGAAAGAAGATGCTTTTAAGAGGATTATCGGACCTCGGCGAAACCCTAGGTATATGCTGGTAAGGATTGTTTCAGTTTTTTCCTAAGAATTGATAAGTTCTATAGACAAATCCCAAACCTAAATCTATGAAGGCAAAGATTGAAAGTAAAAATTGAAGGTAGAGATCTGGCAAAGACACAAAAAACAGAAAACAAAGGCGAAGTTTCAGAAACAAGAACAGGGATGGGCTATCAAGAACATGAAGAATACGAGAAATAAAGGACCAAGATCAGTGGCAAAAATACAGTGAAATGGTGCAACGGTGCATATGTTCAAGATATAGGCAAGGGCCAAATCAAGGAGTAAACACATTCAGATGAATGATTCACAAAATAGATATTTGAGCAAGGCAGTAATAACAGGAGATTCCAGAAATGGTCAAGAATTGAAATCAGAAAGAACAGTTGCTTACCAGAAAAAATGAAGCCGATGTGAGGACCGCCGAAATCAGTCGATAGTTACAGATGTGGCAGAACAACGAAAGTTCCACCAGGAAGACAAACACAGAGCTTGGAAGCTTCAGCAATGGCGGATTTTAAAGAACGAGTTTAAAGAGAGAAACAGCAAATGCAATAGTGAAAAAATGAAAGAAGAAGGAAGAGTTTTTGTCAAAAACCAAAAACGGAGACAAAAGATAATCAATGCGCCTGGAGCAACGCATATGTCAGGCGGCGTACGCAGGAAAAACGTGGTTTATAAGTGCATCACAAACACGGACCAATAAGGTAAAGATGCGTAAGAGAAACGGTTGAGAAGTGATGCATGACAGCTCGTGCGCGTGGGAAAGTTCACTGGAATTCTTGTTCTCCGAAGAGAACATGTCGGCTTGAAATAAATGATCTCGACTGAAGAGTTTGTAAGCCAATGTATAGAAAGAGATATCGATATAGGTTCCATCACCTCAAAATACATATAGAACCTAAGGGGCAGTTGTGGGGATATATTTTCTGAGTACCAACACGTGGCATGGTGACGCCGACGTATCAGCCGAGGTGCCACATGTTGTGGTAGTTATGCCGAGGTTATCTTTGGCAAGGCCGAGGTGATCTCCGAAGATATCGGAATCCGAGATAAGCGGATAAGGGACAAGAGTCCTAGAGAAAAGAGAAGACTTAGCCAAGATAAGGATAAAACTCTTAGGGAGTTTATCTTTATCTCTTGAAGAGTCCAAAGTCAGTATTGAATTGGAGTCCATAGAAGTCAGGCTTCTAGTGGGACTTGGATTAAGTAAACTATAAAAGAGAGGCACCCCCGTGGGTCTAAGGTACGAAAATTATGTTTTGAGCAATAAGTTTAGCACTTGATTATCTTTGAGAGATATGCTGACTTGATCGTCGGAGTGCCCCCGGGTGGAAGAGCCACCGCTGGAGCCTTTTTCTTTCTGTTACAGGTTTGCTAAAGCCATCTATTCTGCCGGTGCTCTCCAACTGATTACTAGGCGGGCAGTGTGGTCAGATTGTCACCCACACAGTCACCAAATCGAGTGGTGGTCTTCGCATCCTGAAGGGATGATTACATTTGGACAATAATCTAAGAGTCTCATCTTCTTGAAATTCATTTAAGCAAACAGAGCACTCTAGAAGGAACAAAACACTCATTCAAGCAACCCACATCTGTGATTTCAATTTTTTTTTTTTTATAAAATCGTTTGTATATTAGTGTGTTTTGATTTAAATATATATATATATATACATATCCTCTTTATGGTTTGTCTCTGTTTCCATCGCCAAATATGGGTTCTGTTTTTGAAGCTATCAAGGAACTTCCACAATATTGAAATCGATGATCAATTCAAATAGCTCCTTAATGATTTTTGCGTGTTTTCTCATTCATTGTTCATAGGTTTGGTTTCTTCATTTTGTTTTATTTTTAATCTTTTATTTTATTCTATTTTTCTTTGTTCAAAAAACTGTTGATTATTACATAGAGATTGGGAAACATCAAAATGAAGATATTCAATTTAATTTTTTGGCCATGAATGAGAAGATTATTGATCTCTCCAAATTGGGTCTGTAGTGTTGGTTCTCCTTTATTTATTCTTCTCCATTCTTCCTTTCTTTTTCTTTTCCTGGTTTGCCTCTGTTCTGTCCCTTTTTTCTTTTTTTTTTAATTGAAATTTTTTCCAATACGACATGGTATTCGGGACGCCGCAGGATGGGTTGCAGGAATGAGCGGCTGAGGATCCGGACTTAGGTGTACACGGTCCGGATTGATTTGATTTTGAGAAAATTTAAGAATTAAATTGATTTTAATTTTGTGATTTTGAGAATCAGCCAAGCCATTATACTTGTAAAATTGGATCAGAACGATTAAGTTGCGATTTGGATTACGATTCCAAAATTTTTTATTTATAAGAATAAATTATTAATATTAACAAAATAATTATTTAAATTGATTACATTTAATTCATGATAAAAATTAATAAAGGTATTACTCATTCTAATATCATTAAAATTATTAAAAAAATAATTAATAAAAATAAAACTTGATATGATAATATTAAATATTATATCTATATATATCTTATTAAATAACATTTACGCATGGTTCAAGGACTGCTGCTATTTATTAACTATTACATATATTTTTTAAAATTTGGTTCGGTTCAGTGTGAACCGTAATTTTTTCATAAAACCATTGAACCGTTTTTACGGTTTTCAATATTTTTTGAACCGATACCAAACCAATTCTTAATAAAATCAAACCAAATCATATGGCTCCATCTGATTCGATCCAAATAACCGATTTGAACGAATTTTTAAACCGCCTTAACCATAGCTCTTCCCTACAATTCCAACTCATAACAGATGCTCAATTTCTTCCAAGTTTGTAGCGCTTCTCCTAGGGTAAATTATACACTTATTTTGTTAATCTTTAATCTTTAATTTGAGTCAATAATATTTTCAAACTTTATACATTAATTCAATTGAACGTAATTTTTTCATCATTAACTTTTGACCAATTGATATCATACTTATATTGACTCTGTTTGATAGAGTTTTTTTAAACTTGATAACTAGAAAATAGAAACTAAAAACATTCCTTCCCAACTTTTAAAAAATTAATATTTTTTAACTTATTTAAGTTATTTCTACTCAAGAGTATCTTTAACTTTTTAATTTTTTTTTACCAAATTTGAGTAAAAACTCTATCTGATATTACGTGCTCCAACGGAAGATTTTAAACTTTTGTCAAAGTATCGGTCGATCAAGCTGATGACCTGGTGAATGTCCATCCGATTGATCGGCCAGTGTAATTTTTTTCACAAATTTTTGCAAGGAGGTGGTCATCCGAGGTTCGTCCTGTGGTAAAAATGATCTGTAACTCCAACAGTTATGAACAGTGAAACGATGAAAGGTCACAGCCGTCCTCAATTTGGTAAAAAATTTATCAAATTCTCAATTTGATACTCATCTAATGAAAAAGATTGGAGTAACAAAAATGACATTTTTTCATCAAATTTAAATTTAGGCTATGTTTGGCATGTTGGTTTTGGGCTAAAATAGATACAAAAAGACAAAACAGGCTAAAAAGTCAATAAGACAAAATGTCACATCTAAACTATAATCATTTCATTTTTTTTTCTTACAAAAATCAAAAAATCGAACGAGACTTTTTAACTCCAGACTAAAATAACCAAAAAACTAAAAAGTCAACCCACATCTCAAAAGAAGGCTTAATAAAACAATATGTAATACATTGAAAATTGTCTAATTAGCTATAAGAGGAGCTGCACCAAACAACTTGACATAAACTCTCACATTAAAATAAGTTATAATTAACTTTCGTTAACTGCAACAAACAGTCCCATTATATAGCTTTAAATAGGTAATTTGATTATTTATTTTTTTTTTTCTACTTCTATTTCAATTAAAATAGATTTATAATTTATCTCCCTTTTTACCACTCATGTAATTTTTCCTTCCTTTTCAACTTATTGCTTTCCCCCCAAAATAATAATCTATACTATATATTAAACAAAAAGGGGTTTCTAATCCCCAAGGCTTGTGAAAGCTCCAATATGCCAATTCTAATTTTCTAATTTTTTGTTTTTTTTTTAAAAAAAATTAACCTCAACATTTATTAACTTCTCTCAATCCATAAGACTTTTTAACTTCTCTCATATTTACTATAGTACCTTTTCCAAAACAAATAATATGTATATTAAAAAAAAAATTAAAACAAATATAAATATCTATATCTATATCTATATCTATCTATTTATTTATATCTATCTCTAACTCACAAGTTTCGTGGGAGTTCCAATATCCCAATCTAAATTTCTTTATTTTTTTATTTAAAAAAAAAACCTTAGCATTTATTAATTTCTCACAACCCCCAAGCCTTACCCTTATAATAACACTTTAATGCATTCAGAATAAGTATAAAAAAAATTCCTTTAAAAGTCCAACACATATGAATTCCTTGAAAAGTCCCAACACATATGATTATTATCCCTCATAATAACACTTTAATGTATTAAGAATAAGCATTAAAAAAATTCCTTGAAAAGTATAACACATATGATTATTATCAAAATATTAAACTTTAATATAATACAAAAAAAAAGACATTTAATTCATTGAAAAGTCCAACACATATGATTATTATCAAAATATTAAACTTTAATATAGTATAAAAAAGAAAAAAAAAAAGAAAAAAAAGACATTTAAAAATCAAAATTCGCATATATATCCCTTGATCAGCATTTATTACATTTTTTCAATCCACATGTCTTTCCACATGCCGAAATTTATTGATTTGGTTAAAATTCTCTAATCAGCATTTAAAATCCCCTCATACAGATAATTATTGATACAACCCATGCATAATTATTGCAGTACCCTTTTTAACTTCTCCAATACACTATAGTTAGTGATAAGATTATTAAATTATTATTATAAAAAATCTTAAAAAACATAATTTATATACTAAAAAAATCTAAAATAAATATAAATATTTATAATTATCCCGTGCATAGCACGAGTGATAGTTTAGTACTATATATTAAGCAAAAAAGGATTTTTAACCCCATGGCCTGTGGGAGTTTCAATATCCCAATCTGAATTTTCTAAATTTTTTATTAAAAAAAAAGCTCAGCATTTATTAATTTGGTCAAAATTCCCTAATCAGCATTTATTAATTTTTTTCAATTCACATGTCTTTCCACATACCTGTATTTATTGATTTGGTCAAAATGCCCTGATCAGCATTTAAAATCCCCTCATACAAATAATTATAGATACAATCTGTGTATAGTTACTGCAGTACCCTTTTCAACTTCTCTCATACACTATGGTTTAGTGATAAGATTGTGAAATTATTTTTATAAAGAATCTTAAAAAACATAATTTATATATTAAAAAAAATCTAAAACAAACATAAATATCTATAATTATTCCGTGCATAGGACGGGTGATAGGCTAGTAATAATAATTAAAAAGTTGATAACCCTCAACCTCTCTGTCGACCTTCGTTGGGATAAGTTAAAATATTTCGCATGCGCTCTCATATCAATATTACCTTGGCCTTACTCTTTTTCTTTTTTTTAAAAAATTCCAAGTAATGCCTCCATTGTTGGACGTCTATTTGTCTGGAACTGGAATGGGCATTTGACCATTGACCCTTTGTTTTCACAGGTAGCGCTAAAAATAATCATGTGATGTGAATCTTACTCCTTATTTTACCTGTGATTATTTTTTATTCCTATCAAAATATTTATTTTCAGAATATTTATTCTCAACGTGATGACTGATTCGAGTTTCACTGCTCTACAAAATGTAACTTGCTTTTTCCCATTCCGATAATAATAATAATAATAATAATAAAACTGTACTTCTCCTATTCCTTCCCCTTCCTCATAAACCAGTTTAGCTCCCCTGAATTGTACATATGCCTCAAACCAAATGTGCACCAAGCAAAATGAAAATGAAAAGGAAAGATTGCACTAATATTATCGTTGTAACAAAAAGAAACATTAAAAACCCAGATAAGTCTGCTAGTTTAGAACACATGGCTTCTGTTTCTCAGTGAAAACCAGCAAGAGAAGATGGCGGGTTGAATGCAACCCTTATATTATTCAACTCAACCCCGCAAAGAAATCTAATTCTTGAGGAACCTGTGCAAAATACTTGTGCCATGAACAAGCAAGCAATACATAACTATCAGATTATCTCCCACATTGATTCGCAATTAAAAAACCAGTAATACCATAAGAAACGAAAGATGAAGCTCATTAAACAATATGTTGATGACACATCCAATGGTAATTTGCACCAACATTAAGAAACACAGTTGGATCAAACTTAAGTGGCATGTAATGAAGTGCTTGGAAGCTGAAGAATCCAAAAAGAAATCAGTCTTCATATGCATGAAACACAACATCCATGGCCTAGCAATTAGCCAAACAGAACAGTGCATACTTCTCTTGCTTTCTTTCTTTTTTTCACAAGAAATATTTTTTTGTTACTCAACAACCTTTTTCCAATATTTTTTTGGCTTAGACTGGTTAGCTACTAGAGTTCTCTTTTAACACAAAAGTAATATTTGGGAAAGCGAAAAAGAGGAAATAAATTTGAAAATCTATGTTCCCTGCTGAAGTAACAATAACTCACCCTGGAACAAGGGCAGAACCATTAACAATTCGTCTGGTCAAAAAATGAAGGAAAACAAAAGACAATTACAGCAATAAATCCCGGGCTAAATAACTTCAGAAAGAGGTCTCTACAATGCAAAGCTGAAGCTGCATGGCAGCCACTTCGCATCCCGAAATTTAAACGCTACCCTAACAAACCAACCTTCAACTATCGTTTCTTCCATATATCTAAACTGTCTTGGTTTTGGGGGTCTTCTTTTTGAGCTGTTTCCTTGGAATTGAGTTCTTCATCCCAAGGAAAAAGAGCAATGCACCAAAAAGTGCTATGCACTGCCAAGAAATGCAAATCAAGTTAAAACCAAGTTCACTTGCAGTGCATAAATATAAGTTGACAAACAAACCAGATACAAAGCCAACCTGCAAGAACTCCTCTAGGAGTGAAAAAAATTCTGGTCCGCCATAATTATAGTTGTAGAAGTCATACAGAAGTGGAGTGGTATATGCCAAGTGGTACAGCTAAAGAAAGAAAAATAACTATAATTAGCGGTAATAAAATAAGAAGCAACTCAAGGACAATCTAGTTACACAATTTGGTACTAATATATTGTTGAAAGATGAAAATTTGGGGAGTAAGATAGTACTAACCAGTAGGTAAGCACCAAGGGAACTGCCAAATATAAAAAGAAAGCCACCAAACCCTTTTAGAAAAATAGAGGCTGCAACAAAATGCCTAACCTGAATACAATATCTCCAAATTAGATACATTTAAAGCTAGATGAAAACTGACTCCAGTTTTTCGAGGAAAATAGAAAGCAGAGAAAGTAAAACAAGAGTCTCACATCAATCTTCAACGCACTTTGCCCCAACTTAGAAGTTAGAAATTTCTGGAGAACAGCTAACTTGGGAGCTAATTCCTTTGCTGCAGGCCCACCATCAGTACCAAAATCATTGAACCTGTGCAGATGCGTACCACATTAAAAAATGAAAATAATCTTCCGACACAAGCCAAGAGGATAAGCAATATCAAGGAAGGCCATTAATTGATCTAAAGCTTGAGAACAAGCAGTAACAACAAGCTAAAATATATAACAAAATTAAAGAAAATGATTAAGAAAAGGTAGAAGATTAAAAAAAATGAAAAAAGGCCCTAAGAAGAGCTACTTTGTTTCTCCATTATAAGTGGGGTCATTTTTGGCACGACATGAGCCAGACAAAAAGTTAATTAGCTAGGGTTAGTTAGTTCTCGATAGTCAACACAAACCCAAAAGTGACACAACACGATAACACAAAAATAAACAAGTTGGGTTAGTGTCAAACATGCATAAATTTCAATATTATTTCCACTAATGGGTGCCATGACATGTTTCAATCCCCTTGTGTAATCCTATCCAACTGATTGAAAAAATATATGTAAAATAGGATTTTGGGGTCAATATAATCTTTTTGTTCTCCATTTGAGATAATATAATATAATAAGGTTTAGTTTTTATATTTTGAGGAAATGCAATAGAGTTGAAATTAAACACTTTATACGAAGAATTTCATCCAGTAGAAATTAGTTTCATAAAACTTAATTTGTGGGATTGTTTTAATGTCTATATACACTTGGTATGTTTAATTAAGGGTGAAATTTTTTGACATGACACATTAACACCACACAAACTAGACACAAACCCAAAATGCTAGACACTCTCTACTCTCTGGTCAATCAATCAATTCATCCCATTTTGACTGCTTCATAAAAGCCTTCAAGGAATGCTAGCCTCTACTCTGATTGGTGCTACACCTACTACTTCAATTGGTGCTAATCACAAGAAATCCAATATTAAAAAAATGAAACTACTCTATGTGTTCCAAAACTATTTTTAGTAAACGTCTTTGCCTCCTTACAAAATTGTCCCACTATTAAATTTAAATGCATCACATGGCACAAAGTGGTCATGCTCAAACGGGGAACCAAGGAGTGGAGGGGTGTAGGAGGTAACAAATATATGCAAACAGCTCAACACTCTAAAATGTCTGCATATATGGTTATTTCATCATAGATAATCCAAAGATTTGTGTAAAATGAGAATTTTCAATAAGATTGATGAGAATCATTGTGTTCTCAATATATTGGTGGATAAGTTTGCATTCAATAAAAGTGAATATATCCTTAACATCTTGCAGTTTTAAATCCACAATAGGCATCATGTCGAGTTTTGGTGAGATTGACATTATCACTTGAAATATTCACAACATACTTAATGCTCAATTGGTCGTGTTTGTTCCACGGATATGATCAAGCAGGATTGACTGTGCTACGACAAATTGTATACGAGACAACCAAACCTAAGTCTAGTTTACACTTTAATCTGGTCTAATACAATGCCTGGTCAGAGATAAAACGGGTTCCAATGCATTTAATGCCAATGGATTCTGTACTAGCTGTTTCTTGCCATCAACCTAATCCTAGGATTAACAATAGCAACCCCACCCGACAAGGGTTGTTTTATCCCTCGTACATGTGATAATATATTGAAATTGAACAATTCATCTATTACCTTCGCCAACATATACACAGGATAAATGGGCCCAAGTATTAACAATCCAAACCCACCTATTTAATCCCATAATAAAAGCACCAACCATTAATTCCGTCATACATTTATGTCCATAGAATACCCATTAAAAGGTCAAATTCATTAAGATTCAAATCACTAATCTCTCTCTAATGAATTCAGTTGTTTCCTTAACTACTTTCTATATGCAAATTTGCTAGTTATTTGTGCACTCCAATCATTACGATATTCATCATTACAAGCATAGTAGTCAAATCGGAATTTGAATCGTGAATCGAAATGGTCTCGTACCGAATCATGAATCGAATCTTGAATTATAAAATTTCAGTCACTTATTCTAAATTACTTAGAAAAATATATCTACACACTTGGATGTTAAATATATCTCATGAATATGAAGCATTTAGACTTAAATCAATGAAATTATTATTCTGAATGATGATCATATAGTTTAATAAATAAGAAATTAACAAAAGTTCTTATGTAAGATCACCATCTTACCCGGTTCTTTTTTTAGATATTTCTTATTAACTATTCTTAATAAAGACAGTAAACAAAAACAAACTCTCAATTTTCAAAGTAACAATAATTTAACCATATTGAAATTTAGACAATAAGCATACATACTTTTCAAGTAACAATAACCAAATAATAACGAAGAATTATCTGAAATATTTTATTTTAAAGCCTAGAACATTTTAAAAGGTATAACTGACCTCATTTATGAAATATTCAACTCCATTTAATTTAGTAAAATAGCAATAGATAATTCATTATGTAAGTTACTTTAATCTTAAATATTTTTAGAAGATATATTATGATTTTTTAAAGGGAAAAAATGAGAAAAAAAGGTTAAAAAAAACATATTGGGTTTGACAGAATTTGATCATATCCAATTAAAAACTCCATGATCACTAAAATAACAACAAATCATGTATATATTGGTTATTTTAGTATTAAATGCTATTACAAGTTGTATATTATCATTTTTACTAAAAAGATAGAGAAAAAAAGAGTTGAAAATATATTGGATACGATAGTTTCAAAAATTGCATGAATCATAAAAAACGAATCGAATTATGAATCGATTGTGAATCATGCGATTTACTAGATTCGTATCGATTTTAATCACGGATCGAATCGCGAATCGTAAGATTCTGATAATAGAAATTACAAAGTGAACATACCAAGCACCGCAAAGGTGGATATACATCCAAAGTTAATATATGTAGGAATTTGAATTACATTGATAGATTAAAATAAAAAAAAATGCTGTAGATAATATATTTCACATAATGCTTTATATATGAATAATATATGAATCAACTTTAAGCCGACAAGGAGTTGAAGATTTATATGGCAGTTAATAAATCAAATAAATCTTGATTTGACAAAATGGCTGTGTCCATCAATGTGTGCACTCATCTACTTTATTTAATACTAAATCTGAATGGTCTCCTTATATGGAAGTAGAAACCTTTAGACATTGATAAAAACGTATTAAATCCGAATGGTCTCCTTATATGGAAGTAGAAACCTTTAGAGACATTGATGAAAATGTTTCCTGTTTCAGACTATAGTCCACTACCCGGGCAATAAGTTGAAGAAACATATTTGCATGATTACATTCACTGATTCCACTGAATAATTTATCATCTCAATAAAAGATTCCAAGTATGAAAAATAACAAATTCTATGAAAATATGTACACTTTAATTTGCTCCTCATAATACACAAGTTATTATGGCAATTCAACAGTGTAATTGTGTAATAGAAGGGCATAGCGAAAAACAAATACTGATACGACTTAAAAAATTGTGGAATGATTTGATTAAAAAAAAATAATTGAGATGAATGTCAATATCATTCACACAAGTTTCAATTCATCAAATCAGCTTCATTTTGCACAGATAACAAACCCTTGTTCTTTTTTTAAAATGTAAACATGCAAAACTCCTTTTGATTCAATTCAATCATGAAAGGCCAAAGATTAAAAATGCCATGTAAAATACATTGTTATGAAAGTTGATAAACGGAATTCAACAAAAAATAAGCTCTAAGCTCAAATGAAGGATTAATTCCTCTTATACAACCCTAAGAAATAAAAGAAAATGGAATAAAGTAAAAAGGGGAATTTTAATATGTTAAGTTACATTAAATTGAACCACCAAAACGTATTTGTCACATATTCCCTAACAGAGCAACTCAAGTTTTTGCGTCATGCATTGGCCAAGGTATATTTTTCAAATGGCATTCAACATTTTTATTTTTTTGATAAGTTTCAACAACATTCAACTTGTAATAAATAAAAATACCAAAAATTCAAAAACTAAGCATCCAAGAAGTAAGGTGGCACAATTCTTTTTCTTCTCTCCTTCCCTCCCATGCAAATAGCAAATCCCTTAGGATTTTGCTAAACTAAGGTAACCTTTTGTTTCCAAACCTCTGAAATCTCCAAGTATAGTTCACCTAAAGAATGATCATAGTGATGAGCATGCATGCTACCGGATTCTGTTCACTTGATACAATTTAATGCGCTGTTTTGGTAATCTATAGCCATGTTTAGGGACACTCCCACTCCCACTTCCTCTCTGCCTCAACTATCTCTCTCTCGCACTCCCACATCCCCACGCCCACCCTTCCACCCCCACTGCCCCACCTTCTCCCTATTACTCCCAACCCGCACCCCTCCCTACCATCACCAATCTCAATCTCTAACCCCACCAATTCAACATCACCTTAATCAAATTATATAAGAAAAATTCATATATAAATCCACTAGCAGATAACCTGGCTCATACATCTATATACACATATTTATAAATATGTATACATATGTATGTGTTGGAAACTGGGTCCATCTGCCCATGTTGGCATAAATTATTCGATGGCAGTGTTGGTATGTAAATGAAAAATTAACTCTGATATTATTGCGGTCATTGTGTCTTTTTTGATCACACAACTCACACCTACGGCATTGAACAATATAATTGTATTTAACAAAGTACTTTCTTATTACTTCTAGAGTTTTTCAATCCTACCTAATTGCTCCTCCACTATCCTCAAATAATTTTCTCCATCTTGCCTTTCCTACACTTTGCTTTACGTTGTGTTTGTTTGGGGGATTTGGGAAGGGATTTGGAAAAAGAAAAGAAAAATGTAGATAAAATGTAAAAATATACTTACATTTCACCTGATTTCACACATCTTTTCCCTTTCCCTTTCCCTTTCAATTTCCAAATCCCCCAACCAAACACAACGTTAGTGGAAACCTCAAGAACTTAAATCACTTTTTTTAAATCCCTATTCGAACTTCTTCCTCATCATGAGTCTATGGCTGTATGTAGGAATTTGAATTACATTGATAGTTTTCGGTAAGCTAGCTAAAACTGATTGCAATCCTCTTTATGCTGTGTTTGGTTGGGGGATTTGGATTTGGAGAGGGATTTGGAAAGGGAAATGGAAAAAGTAAGTGAAATGTGAATAAATCATGCCTATATTTCACATAGTTTCACACACCTTTTCCCTTTCCCTTTCCAAATCCCTTCCCAAATCTCTCAACCAAACACACCATTAGTCTCCACTAATTGGAGTTTCGATAGAGGAAGGGAAGGGCACTGGGAAAGGGTATTGGAGGTGATCGTTTATTGATTTATATACATAAATATATCTATATGTACATGATTATATATATATATATATATATTGGTTTAGTTTAGAAGAGGGTATTTAGGTTAATTTACAAGTGACAAAAGTTAGTCCACAAACCACAGGAGTTAAGTGGTTATTTCCAAATAACATAGTGTTTCATGAAAATGGCCTACAAGGAGGTGAAATGAAATTTGTGCTTCAATAAATTTTTTTTCTTCTTATGAATGCATTTTCCTTATCTTCATAGAACTAGAGTGATTAGTTTCAAATATTCAAGCGAATGAAACTAGGCTGAATGAAAAATTATTCAAAAAAAGCTGGGCACTACTGGCACCGGAATTTGGAAGTAAAGGCAGCAAAGTCACACTTCTTTTTCAAGTAAAATAGCACAAGAAACCAGTCACAAGTGTTCCGTCACTGATCAAATCTAAGAAATTTAAAAAGAAAAAAAAAAAAAAAAAAGGGGGGGGGAATTTTCACTACTTGCGGACCCGGAGACCTAAAAATCGAAATCCTCCGCCTAACCGGACCCAATAGAGGTATTTGGGCTCGTTTCAGGGCAATATTTCCTCATTTTGAAGCACAAAACAACACAAACCATGAGGATTCAAAAAAAATTCAATTTCATTAATATTCCAACAGATCAATGGCACGAACGATACAAAAGCAAAAAATGAATATAGAGCTGGAAAAAAAACTAGATCTGACAACAATTCATATACACACAATGCAATATACAGCAGATCTACTATACAGAGATAGGGATAGAGCTTACATTTGCCAAGCGGAGAGGATGAAGAGCGAGGCGAAGAAGACCCTTCCGAGGAACGAGAGGAAGCCCATTACTGGTTTTTTGAGAGACAGAGAGAGAGAGAGAGCAAATCTCGGGGCCTCCTTGCCTCCGAGCACTAGAACTGTGAATAAAAAATTGTATGATTGTGTTGCGTTTGGGTCTTAATGATGTCTATAAGCGATCAAATCAGAATATTTGGAGGTTCGTCTACACACGCAAATGGATTGATTCCTCTTTGCCTTTTGAAATTACAATTTAAGGGCTTCTACTTTCAATTATTTACCGCAGACCCTACCCACGCACGACAATCGTGAGTCACGTGGCTGATTCTCAATAAAGGAATGAATTCTTTAAAAAAAATGTTTTATTATTTATCTTTCAAATAATTTTTATTAACTTATTATTGTTATTTTGCTGTAAATCATTTTTCAGAAGCACATCTTCATTAGTGAATTATTTTTTAGCAAATTATAAATATAATCTCTGATATTTGCTTAAAATATGAATTATTCTTATAGTTTTAAAAATTATAAATATCTCTTTGTTATAATTTTTTTATTTAACAAATTAACAAAAAAAAAAATTCTAACTACACTCCTTACAATAATAAAATTAAATAAGTTATTAATTAAAACATAATTTTCATATTATTAAAAATTATCAATTGATTTGATAATTTATTAATAAAAGAGATAATTTGTTATGCAATTATAAACTTAAAAAGATGATATATAATTTCAAAAATCATAATAAATAATTTGTATTTTAAGTAAATCTAAAGAAGTGTATTTATAAATTACTCATTATTTTTTTAGTTTAACATGGTAAAAGGGTAACTTACAAGTAGTTCTGCTAATGTGCAATATTTACTATGCTATTACTTATCAATCACTATTTACTAACTATCACTTTAATTTAAAATTATGCTATGCTATTACCTATCAATCACTATTTACTAACTATCACTTTAAATTAAAGTTATGGTATTTGCTCAGTTTAAATATAGTTCTCACATCATGTAAACTAACATTTCAATTTACATGTTTTACAAAGTTACATATGATACAAGGCAAGCCTAGTTGACAATTGAAAATTTGTGTTGAAATATACTTGAATTAAAAATAAAATACATATGAAGGTGTGGCGTGTAGTTACTTGGATTGTCGGAATCTTCTCTTTCTGTTACAGGTTAGCCAGGTGTCATCTATTCTGCCAGTGTTCTCCAGCTGAATACTGAGTTGGGCAGTGTGATCGGAAAATCACTCACACAATTTGGCGCCGTCTATGAGAAAGAAAGTAGAATAGATGGCCAGTAACGGACAGAAGGAAAAGATTGGAGATGACACTCCTGTTGGGAGTGGGAGACCTATTGACCTTGATATCATCGGAGACGAATGCAACGCAGAAACTCGTGACCAGAATCACGGAGTGATAGACGTCGGCCAGACTGGCGACGCACCAAAGAAACCAGATTAAAGTGGATACTACAACGAGGACGACCTCCAAGTTTGAAAAGATAGGTGCTTACGGAGGGACGAAGAGGTAAAAGAGATGGCAAACAAACTGGCAAACCTACAGTCGGTCGTCAATTTCATGATGCAAAATAACGTCATGCAGCCACCGTTCCCGCTGCAGAACACGCCGATTCCAGCGGCCAATGCCTAGAAGGGAGGGCAGAAAACAATCCGCGTAGCCCCTCAGCACAACGGGAGCAAAAGATACTCTCACCGACCTTCTAGGGAGGTCGGACGAAGAGAATCAAGAAGAGAAGAATCACGGAGGACGCAACGCACAAAAGAGGTAAACCTCAAAGGACATCGGCATGTTCAGGGGCAGGCACTATGCTTCGACACAACTCATGGAGAAGGGTCGAAAAGGGCTCACCACGAGACCGAGAGTAGTATACCAAAAAGACTAAAGTCGAAAGATAGCCGAGCTCCTGGGCAGAGCAAAGAAGACTTAAGAGATTACCTCAAGAGGAAGCAACAGAATGCCGAAGCCGAGATAACCCCCCCAGATAAGCCGAGGACACCATTCTCGGTGGAATTGGACAAATTTGAGGCACCGAAGCGATTCAGTATACCGAGGTTTCAAATATACGATGGTAAGTCAGACCCCAACTTCCATGTTGGACTATATTTGAACTCAATGGCATTGTATAGTGGGAACGAGCCGTTGCTCTGCAAAGTGTTCCCCTCATCCTTCGGGGAGATTACATCAGATTGGTTCCACAAATTACCGAAGGGAAGTGTGAAGACTTGGGAAGGCCTGGCCGAGATATTTGTGGCTAGGTTCGTGACAAACAAGCTGTAGCCATTAAAGGTGGACGCATTGATGGCTCTGAAGATCAGCAAGGATGAAGGCCTTAGGGCCTATGCAAAAAGATATTATGAGGTGTTCAATCGAATACCCGAATGTAATCAAGAGGTGGCGGTCGTATCTTTCAAGAACGACCTGAAAGACAACTGTCCACTACGAAAGTCTTTCGCAAAGACATTGCCAAAAAGAATGGAAGAGCTCATAGCAAGAATCGAGAAGTATGCTAGAGCCGAAGAAGACACGTCGGGGGCTAAGGAGATAAAACAAAAGAAAGGAAACGGCTCGCCGAAGCGAGGCCGAGGCAACAAAGGATCGAGCAAACAAGAAGCAGAACTGAGGGCCACACAGGCAGTAACAACTGTGTTCCGAATCCCAATTTACAAAGTCCTTGATCAAATTCAGAACCAGCCCTATTTTAGAATGCCAGAGAGGACTCCAAGAGAGTTCATGGAAAGAAACATTGGCAAGCATTGTGCCTACCACAATGAAGATGGGCATACAACTCAGGGTTGTAGAGCCCTCAAAACACATTTGGAAGACCTGGTGAGAGAGACCTTGTCGATGAGACCAGGACAAGGGAAGAACGGGCAAGGTTGCCTCAGGCACCAGTAGCCCCACCTCCCCCAGCACAGCAACTGCAGGCAGGAGGACCTCGGGTAATCAACGTAATCTACTCAAAGGTCAACGAAAACGAAATTCGAGGAGAGACCCAGAAGGTAAAACACCTACAACATGTCTACCAAGTCGGGAAGAAAAGACATTAGGCAAAAGAGTGCCAAGGACCAATGATAACCTTTACTGAAGCCGACCTAGAGATGGTCCAGCATCCACATAATGATGCCTTGGTAGTATCCCTCCAGGTTGGAAAGTGCCAAGTGAAACGCATCCTGATTGACCAAGGCAGCTCTTGTGACATCATGTACGTCCAATGTTCCAAAGAGCTCGGCCTTCACCCAAATGATATGGAACAATCCAATGGCCCAATGGTTGGGTTCAATGGAACGTCGACATGGCCACTGGGAATAATAAGCTTGGAGGTGCAGGCTGGCACCAGGAAGATCAAGACAGAATTCACCATCATCGACACACCGTCCCCTTACAACATCATCTTGAGAAGGCCATGGCTGCATACGGTGGGGGCAATTCCCTCAACATTGCACCAACTATTACGATTCCCAACAGAGCATGGGATAGAGGAAGTCAAAGGCGATCAGCTGCAGGTAAAGAATTGCTCCATGGCAGCAATGAAATCTACCTGCAGCATACGAGAGCCAGAAAAGGCAAAAATTGAAGATGAAGACGTAGAAGTCCTAGAAGACATCGGCAAGGAGCTAGCCCAAAAAAAAAAGAGGCACTGAAGAAAATCCTCGTCCAGGATGAGGATGAAGAACGCTTCTTTCTTCTCGGCTTGGGCTTAACCGAAGAAGAGGAAAAAGAGTTGGAAGCTTTTCTGAGAACAAATATTGAGGTGTTTACTTGGACACCTTACGAAATGCCTGGCATTGACCCCGAGGTCACTTGCCACCAACTGAATGTTGACAGGTCGGCCAAACCTATAATTCAGCGAGCCAGAAGACTGACGTTGATGCACGTCGAAGCAGTCGAGGAAGAAGTAAACAGACTTCTAGAAGCCAGGGCCATTAGAGAAGTTCACTACCCGACATGGCTATCCAATACAGTGGTGGTAAAGAAAAAGAACGGTAAATGGAGGGTCTGCGTAGACTTTACCAGCCTCAACAAAGCCTGTCCTAAAGACAGCTTTCCTCTACCCAAGATTAACCAGCTAGTAGATGCCACTTCAGGCCATGGAAGAATGAGCTTCCTAGATGCCTACATGGGGTACCACCAGATAGCCATGTACCCTCCAGACGAAGAGAAGACCGCGTTCATCACCCTAAAAGGCCTGTACTGTTATAGAGTAGTGCCTTTCGGGTTGAAAAATGCAGGAGCAACTTACCAAAGGTTGGTAACCAAAATGTTCAAACACCTGATTGGCCAAACAATTGAAGTCTACATCGACGACATGGTCGTTAAGACTAAGGAGCCTGAGGGTCATCTCGCCAATCTAAAAGTAGTCTTTGAAATCCTTAAAACATATCGGCTCCGACTCAATGCATCGAAGTGTGCATTTGGAGTTGGATCTGGTAAGTTTTTAGGATACCTGGTGACCAGAAAGGGCATTGAGGCCAGCCCAGATCAGATCAAGGCCATCCTAGAGTTGAAGAGCTCGACGTCGGCAAAATAAGTACAGATGTTAACTGGAAGGGCCGCAGCCCTGAACAGATTCATAAGCAGAAGCTCAGACAAGTGCAAACCTTTCTTTAACTTAGTGAAAACAGCCATGGACTTTCTTTGGACAGAGGAGTGCGAAGAAGCATTAGTCGATCTGAAGAAGTACCTGACCACAGCTCCAGTTCTTTTGAATCTAGAACCTGGGGAGGAGCTGTTTCTATACTTGGCAGTTTCAGAACATGCGATAAGTGCAGTACTAATCCGAGAAGAAAAATGGAAGCAAAGGGCTGTTTACTATGAAAGCAAAACCCTAGCCGACGCAGAAACGAGGTATCTACCCTTAGAGAAATTGGCACTGGCTTTAGTAATGACTTCAAAGAAGTTGAACCATTACTTCTAGGCCCACAAAATTATGGTACTGACAGAACATCCATTAAAGTCCCTATTACAGTAGGGAGACTTAACAAGAAGAATAGCCAGATGGGCAGTTGCCCTAGGCCAGTATGATCTGGAGTACAAGCCCAGAACAGTAATCAAAGGCCAAGTTCTGGCCGACTTCGTGGTCGAGTTCACGCCAGATTCCATTGTACATCAGGCTCCGTTGAGCCAAGATGAACGA